TCGCTTTTTTCCCACTGATGTTTGATAACGTGACTTCGCGAGTACATACTACGTTTTCTCGTGCAAGCTCTTCTACTGCTCTCCAGATAGTTTTAATACAAACTATAGATGTGGGAAGTAGACTTTCCCCAAACATTTCCTTTGTCTTATCTTCAAAGAGCCTCTTAAAGTGAAAATTACGTTCCATGATTGGATAACTTTCCAGAAGAGCCAGAATTACAGCCTTTCTCTGAAGCATATAAAGATTCGTCGTTCCCTTCGCAGCTTTTATTTCCCGTGACCTTTGTGTAAACCCGAGTTTTAATTCTGTCGCTGTATCTTTATCATTGGATTTTAATTTTAAAGACCCTTTATGGTTTTCATCGTCTTCATCTTCATCGTCTTCATCTTCATCGTCTTCATCTTCATTGCCTTCATCTTCATAGTCTTCATCTTCACCTTCATAGTTATCGTCCAAAGCAGGCCTATTTTTTTTCTGGGATTTTCTTTCCGGTGCTATATGTGAAGTATTTCCAGGTTTATTAATCGGTGGTATAATAGTATTGTCTTTTGGAATGAGCTCATTATCTTTGCCATACATTCTTGTAGGTCTGGATTTACGTGAAAGTCTATCGCCATTCGTAGTAGTGTTCTGGATTTCTTCGGGCACTTCGGGCACTTCGCCAACCTTATGATTGACTGGCCCCAATTCTAAAAAAGCCTGGGATATACTAGGAGAACATTTTTCTTGGTCTGGCTCCCGAGTCAGTGATCCAGCTGACTTAGATACCTCTTTGTCTTTTATCGCTTTAGTAGAGCTTCCATTGATATGAAATGTAGCAGACTGTTCATTCGATACATTCTGCTTAGCATTAAGGGTTTTTGGTTCTTTAGGACGTGCAGAAAACAATTCGAATAAGGTTGTTTGACGAGTCGCAGTAGATCTTGTTTTCGGTCTGGTAAATGTTTTTGGATCTGACAAAAGTGTTGTTGAGGGTTTCTTGGCTTTTGGCTGACTATAATGTTCTACAGATATATCTGTACGTTTTTGAGGAATCTGACTTTCCGTTGCTTGTGATGATAATATTTGATCTTTTCCCGTTCTTATCGACAGAGGATTCAAGTTAACAGACATTATTTCAGGTTGTAGACTTTCAGGAGTCGAGGTTACTATATTGCACTGGTCCAATACTTCAGCGATCTCTTTTGATGGGTTAACGTGTTCAGGCAAAACTTTAGATCTGGTTTCCACTTTGGATGTATTACTTGGAGTACTTTCTGGCTCAGTTTTCTCAAGGGTTTTCAAGGATGTCCTTTTAGTGGCTCTCGTGACTCGCCCTTGATATGACTTCTTTCCTTTCGTTGATTCAGTCTCTGATTCGCCATATTCGCTGCTCTCTTCGTCTTCTGGTACCGATCGGGTCTTTCGCTTTCTAGGTTTTGGTTTATTTTCTACTGGTCTCCCACGCTTTTTATGCCTTCCTCTCAACTGTTTGGTGAATGCATCTGGGTTCACGACTAATGGTACAAGATCAAAAGCGGGAGAATTGTTGACAGATGCATAGTCTCTCTCAATATCTGGCTCAGGTCGTTTTGGGCGTGGTAATAATGGTAGCCTTTGACTTGGTTTTTTCCAGTGAATGGGTGTTATAACGAGCTGGTTGAGATAGTCATGCTCCACGATAAGACTTTCGTCTGGTGTGAAGGTTTCGTACTTAATGGGAAAGACATCCTTATCTTCAACAACCTTTTTATAGTTTATATAGGTAAAATAACGGTATCTGCGGTTACGACCTTCAAATTCAAGATGACGGCAGACACCATAGTTTTCAATCGCAATTCCTTGTTCGACTACCATTCTTTCCAAAGCTCTATAAAGCATACGAGAGTCTATGCAGTTTGCTTCTCGGCCGATATTCTAAAAAAGAAGGTAAGCTTATAAGTACAAAAGCCAGTTTTCCAGGGAAGATACCGTACCCTCTGAGTAATCCCGTGAACTCCGGCTGATCTCAAAGTATTGATAATTTGGAATTCAAGTGTAAAGCCTCGATAGAATACAGGAGGACTTGATTCGCGAGGCTTTCCATAAATACGTGGAACAACAAGTGTTCTATTATGACTGTTTTCTTTTGGTAGTTCCTTTAGTAGAATACTATGCTGTTTTTTCATAGCTAGTGTAGCACACACACACGCATATATATATATATATAATAGTGGAGAAGTAAATAAGTAAATGTGTACATAATATTTAATAAAATCATATCATAAACAAATAATCGGAAAACAGAAATGATAAACTTACACAGCTCGGTTTTGAGAAGTTTAAGGCATCGAAGTTGTCTCCCTACATTATTCTCTTTTGCAACAAATTTTTTAAGGTAGCCACGAAGACACATAATATCAATAGCTCGATTAAACCATTTTCTAACACCTTTCTTCTTTGAATTAAAGCCCTATAAATATAACAAAAAGTACATAATGTAAATAACAATAATTTAGGATACAACAACACACATCAATAAAAAATCTTACCAATGCATTAAGAATGTCATCAGTAAACATAACATTGTCCTTGGCATCCAAAAGCAATTCTGTGATTGAATGCAACAGAGACTTTGCTGAAAAAACAACGCCAAGTGTGTTGACATTGTAAGGACAAGTTTTCTCGTCATTGTCCCCAGCTTTATCTTCTTCTTCTTCCTCTTCGTCTGGTTGAGAAAGTTTCTTAATCCTGCTAAAGCGGATATGTACACACATATTGGTACGAATGCGAGCGTAGGAGTAAGTTGTTCTCGTACTAATTCGTAACAATTATTAGACTTGTTCTTGATACAAAGAAGCAATAATGCTTACATTGCGCCCATTTTTTCAAGTGACTTTACATAGTGACCAGTTGAACGAGGGTCAAGATCATAGAGCCTGGTGATATCAGCCTGCGTAATTCCATCATGACGAGATTTTATGATTCTTTGCAAGAGTACGATTAAGTTTTGCGTAAATTCTGGACCAGGCTTCAAGATAATCGTGTATTAATAATATATTTTCATAAGTCGTATATTTAACCAAAAAAAAAAGCGGGGAACTGAAAGAGGCTTGTGCAAGTATTTTACTTACAGGTACGCCAAAAAGTAACTGTTCTTTTTGGTACTGAGGAGTGGCTATTACATAGAGACGATCTCCATATTTTTCTACCACTTTTCCATATTCAAGAGAGCCAATATCCTCTAAGAGTCTGAAGTTCTTTGTCAATCCGTATTTAAGCTGTAAACCAATGTTTTTTGTTTAGTTAGATTCATCGAATAAAAAGTCTTTTTTTAAATATATATATATTGCCTTCAATTGAGTAAAAGGTCTGACTTTTCCATCGCAACTGTTATCCGAGCTCTCAATAAGATCGTTTTCAGAGTTATTATCATTTAGATCATCTTCGTTTTGGCCAGTCCTGTCTAATTTTTCATAAAAAAGAAGTTCCGGAAAACGTCTGATGAATCGCCAGACATAGCACTTGTAGGCCATGTCTATATTTACTGGAGTGGATAATTCTCCCTCACGCTGTACGATCTCAGAGGTTGTAATAACTTTGACATGAGCCCAAACGTCATCGATGCAAGTGCCTAATTTATTGCATGTATTTGTATAATGTATTTTTTGACATGAGTAAAGGAATTGATTAATGAATTGATAATTTATTTTTATTTTTATTTATTTATTTCCAATGCTTGCCTCTGGCACCATCAATGGCTATTTCTTGCTTGAGCCTTGCAAACACATTATCCAGCATTATGATTTCTTAAAAAATACTATTGTTCATAAATCAATCAATGATGGACTATAAAAAAAAGGCAATAGAAAGAAAAAGGTTGACCAGATTTTTTGGATTGCTATAAAAAATAGTCTACGTCATTATATTAGAATGTGTTGTAAGAATGTAGTTTTTTTTCTCCAAAAAAAAATCAGTAGTAAATGGCAGATATTACAACTCCGCGACCGTAGGAATTATACGGTCGCGGAGTTGTAATGTCTGCCAATAGAATACTGGCTTTTAGTAATGCCATTCACCAGCGTACGAGGGAATTGTTGAGGGAATTGGATCGAGGGAATTGAATCACGTCATATACGATTCCGATTGTTATTCAGCATCTGGTTTTTAATTATATACTAAAATACCCTGCCCATTTTTGTTTTTTTGTTAATGATTTGTTTCATTTTGGCTATATAGAATGAGCTTTTTAAAGTATGGTTGTTTAGTATATTCCTTTTTGTAACTAGAGTCCTTATTTTAGAAATTTTGTCAATTCCCTCGACAATTACATGGTTAAAAACACCATGTAATTGTCGAAGGAATTGACAAATATATCCATTCGGAATCGAATAAATTACTATGAAAAGTAATTTTTCTTTCAATTCCCTCGATCCAATTCCCTCGTACGCTGGTGAATGGCATTAATAAATTTTTATATGATATTTTTAAAAAATAAAAATATCTGCTGTTATATGAAATAGTTATAATAATAAGATTCTCAATTCTCTCTTTCTTTGTTTTAAGTTTTTTTTTCATGTTATTGACACGACTATATGAGCAGGTAGATATTGTACTGTGTAAATGAGTGAGTAAGTATGCATGTGTATATGTGTATATGTATATATGTATATTAAGTGAGTTATTTATTTATTTAGTCTGTTTGTTTGTTTTGTATTGCTCTAAAGTGGTGTACCTGTCAACCGAAAAATGAGAGAATGCATGTACAATTTTTTTCAAAAAAAAAAGAAAGGGTTACAAGAAAGGAGAGGAACAGGGTGGGGGCATGATGGACATGAAGATGATGAATAAATAGAAGAAGAAGAAAGAGAGAAAAGATGTATGTGTGTGTGAGGGAGAAATAGTTTAAATACAGTACACTAAGTAGTAATAAAGAACAACAATAATAATAATAATTAAAAGAAAAAGAAAGAAAAGAATGGACTGTGAATGCATAAAAATAAGGTAAAGAGTATAAAAAACGGACCATGTAAAAGTGTGTTTAAACTGTAGGTTCCACATTGCGCGGCTCGAGTCGTACGGATCGTTCATAGAGTTGTTCAATATCATGACTATTTTCAAGGCGTGTTTTGATGAAATCCTGGAGTTCGGGGATAAGACGGAAGGTGTAGGGTGGGGTTTGGAACTGCTTGAGTTCACGGATGACTTCAGCAGCCTTTTGTTTTTTGGCAAAGTTGATCAAATTTGAAGATTTCTTAAGGTAGTCAGGATTTCCGTCTTCAATAAACGTAAGATCTTGGAGATAGATCCCAAGGAATGGAATACAGGGAGGATTGACTGAATGGATCATCTCACGGTACTCCACAAAATTGCGATTGGCACCCATTAATTTACGAATATAACCTAATGTTTGGTTTGTACGATTTCCAACCAGCTATTACAAATAGTCAATAAAACAATATCATATTAAGTAAACATTTTATTTTATTTTATTTACCTCCCAGGTCTTACGCAGACGTCCGATAGCACTATTATCAAATGCGGATAGGATTGCCATGCAAGTGTTATAGTTGTTTAGAATACGACAATGCTGTAAAGTGTATTTGTTAGTGGCATATCTTTTACAAAATAATGATGACTCCCCACTCCTTGACCCTTTTATGTATATATATATATTGGGCGGAGAGAATGTTTTTTTTTGTTCAACATACGTTGGCTACTTGGACCCAATATTTAATGATCACAACTCGTCTCTTGGGTTCTTCGTGAACAAGAATACTTTCGGTTGCCCAGGCCGTGAGTCTGTTGCAGTAATCAATAGATTGTTTTACATTTGTAGCCGCATTACTATCATTATCATCTCTGGACCATCCTTGACCAAGACACTCAATGGGTAAGATACTGCTGTACAACTTGAAATCTCTTATGCTGAGTTGACGGGCCATTTCTAATGGATCAATTTCAAGCATCTTGATATCCGTTATATTTTTAGGCATGATCGACGTAGGACCAGCAGCGTTGTTTGGAACGAGCTTCTTAAGATTTTTATTTGGATCGAGCTCGCGGCGCTTACGGATCAGTCTATTGAGTTGGTCAGCCGAAAAAGAGGAGGCATCGCGAATTACTGTATTAGTGAAGAATTCAAGACGGGCGAGGATTGGTTCGTCTTCGTCAGTATAATAATTTTCGAGCCAGTTCTTCATCACATTAAACACGCTATGACAATTAAGGACCGGTAAGTAAAAGCTGAAATAACATACGAGCCGAATAGGGAAAAAGATGCCAAACAACACACGGACGCTCAAAAGGAGTTCTTTGTCACACATACCGTAGTCGAACAAGCTTCTGTTTGCGTTCAGTCCATGTCTCAAGCTCCTCGGGCGTCAACCCTTCTGGAGCGAGAAGATTGTAACGTTGCTCAAGCAGGCCAAGAAACTCGTCACTTGTACAGAATGAGCGATATGTGAGTAGAAAGTTGGCAATAAAGCTCATATCTAAATAATAATAATAATAATTAGTTCTAATCTTTGTAATTCTGAAAAACAAAATAGTCCGTGTTTTCTGTCTTTGACTTACCCAGGGTATCATGAAGAGTGAGGCGTTCCACAAGGGCGGGCAAAGTACCGCCCTTGAGGGTGTTTTCCTTGGTAAAAATAATATCGCTCTCTGCATAGTCGTACCCAAGATACCAGTTATCGGGCACACCAGCACGTCCATCGGCCGTCTTTGATCCATTTTGGCGTTTTCGTGCTTTATCCACCATCTTTTGCTTGTAATCACTAGCATTTCCACCAATCGATGGTCGCTGATGAAGAGGGGAGCGTGCACGCATAGGATCCTCAACATCAGTTCCACTATCATAACGTCGTACACCACCTTCATCATCCGCTCCATTAAACACCATGTCAGGTGAACTTGTTGGCGAGTTATCAACCTTAGTGTCCGGCAGTTCGGAAGAAGATCCACCACGCATCAACCACAGCTTACGCTGGCCAACCATCTGGTCCACACTAGAAAATATGCTTTCAATTGTATCCTCTACTCGTCGGATGCTGCTTTCGATCCCAATCACACTGGTTGCTGTATCAGCTTGTACATCGGTCAGTAGCTGGATAGCACCGAATAAGCATCCAGTCGCGTTATACAGGTTCTGTTTGTTGACACGATAGTCAGGTAAGGAAAGGATCTGGGAACTGTCAATGTTGGTCAAGTCAATATCTTCAAGAATACCCAAGTATTGTCCAATCTTCATCGAGAGACTGCGAAACAGAAGAACTACGTTTGAGCGTTCTTTTCCTCCATTCATATTATCATCGTCCTCATCGTCATCATCTTGCTTTTCTTGCTGAGAAAGAATAAAAGCAGCTGCACGAGAGAGAGCATCGGTAGATCCATAAATTTGATTAGCATGAGTCTGCAAACTGACTGTCAAGTCTTGATTGAGTGGGTATTTAGCCTTTTGCATCATTTCTTGGTCCGTAACCTGCTGTTGTTGTTGTTGTTGTTGTTGCTGTTGCTGTTGCTGTTGCTGTTGCTGTTGCTGTTGCTGTTGCTGTTGCTGTTGCTGTTGCTGTTCCTGTTCCTGTTGCTGTTGCTGTTGCTGTTGCTGTTCCTGTTCCTGTTCCTGTTGCTGTTGCTGTTGCTGTTGCTGTTGCTGTTGCTGTTGCTGTTGCTGTTGCTGTTGCTGCTGGTGTTGTTGTTGTTGTTGTTGTTGTTGTGAGTTTTTAGGCTCGTATGCAGTTGTAGCAGGAGATGAAGTAAATGTTCCATCAGATGCATCTTCCTTGGAAGGATTGAATTGGGCCATTTGTCTAATATCTTCCAACAGACGTGGTTTGACTTGTTCGATGGCAACTCTTCTTTCCTGACACAATGTGACAAATAAACGGACGGCCACCAATAGATCACTGGCGTCCTTTTGAACCTTGTGTATAAGATCGGGCGTAATGGCATCAGAATATTCTGATGCCATTTTGACCGATAGGACGAGTTTAGATAATGATGCCATAACGGCACGATGTGGGTCACGCAAAACACGATCCTGCATATGTATAGAGTCCTTATCCATCGAGCGTGATGAATAGAGCATCATTCTAACTGCTTCTACAATGGTGGTTACATTTCCTCCCAGACGTTCGTATTCCCCTCGTTGGGCAGATGTGTTGAGTTGTTGCACAGTTTGAGCAATGTCTGTTGAAAGTTTTTGCCATGAAAGAGGTTCTTCTACCTCCAAATCAGCTGCAGGAGACGCGGCCCTATCTGACGGCTGATGATTCATGAATTCTATTGGTTCGGACCGTGTGTCTTGGTCTAAAGGAGCCTTTTCGACTCTCTATATATATAAATATTGTAAACTTTAGTCAATTACTATTTTTTTATAAAAAAACGAAAACAGGCTGAAAACAAAATAATACGGCGTACGTACAAGTCTTCCAGTTAACTGGTCAATTTCATCAAACTCCCAGGTGGTTTCTTGAGTGGACAAATTGCAGAAATAAATTCTGCCCTGTGGTGTGACACGTTCTACCCATTGCGACATCTAGCATCATATATACTGGTTAATACACTTAATAAACTTGACTTATAATAGCTGATCTACAGATGAAAATAAAAGAATATAAACAGTTGTAATTGACTCACACTACTATTATCCATCAAATCTGCAATAGGACTCTCGACATTTGCAGGTAGCGAGTCAAGCGAAAGACGTTTATAATCATCAGGAGTGCGTTGAGATGGTTTTAGATCTTTGTAGTGTGTGTGATCCTCTTCGTCTGAATTGTCGAATGATCCCCGATTACGACGATTGAATTCATCACTGTCATAGTCACTTTCATCCGAGTTTCCATTGAGTTCATGACGCATCTGATTAAAGTAGAAAGATCGCCCAAGACTTCCGTCTGAGCTGGCATTGCTATCACTTGAATGGTTTCGACGACCGCTCCAGCCAAGGTTCGATGGTTGGTTGATAGGGAAGTGACGAGGAAGCAACGGACTGGGTGTAGACTGGCTCTGGTTAGGTTGTTGTTGTTGACTGAGACTATGACTAGAGCTTTGGATCTGACTAAAGCTACGATGGTGATGGTTACTGTTGTTTGTCGCAGTGCTTTGTCGTTGGCTTGATCGCTCTCTTCTCGGCAGGATATTGGCTGTTGGTTTTCTTACAGGGTTAAGTGCGACATCAGGTTGTGGCGGCAATTCTCGGGTCTCGATTGATACAATTTCAACATAATTGCTCGGGAACCATCCTCGCAATCCATTGCACCTATATAATATAATAACACATATAGATAGATTTTTTTTATTAACCGGGTTTTCAGGACTGTTAATTGAATTTACCAGCCATCCCACCAGCCAGAATCAAGCTGCGTCAGGACATCAATATAATCGTCTTTTTCAAAGTTAAGTGAGGATGTCTCTCTAGAGTCAAATGCGTAAAGAGCCTTCACTCTACAAAGGATAATAGGAGGGGTTGCTGCCATAGGTAAACGAAGCAAATTGGAGTGACAAGGAATGAAGGAAAGGGAGGAAGGAAGGAAGAGAAAGAAAGAAAGAAAGAAAGAGAGAGTAAGTGCTTAATTTGTAGACAGAAAATAAATACGCCTTGAGTAGGACGAGCGTTAGTTAAATGCTCTATTCGATATATATATATATATATGTATAATGAAATTGTATTATTATTATTATTATTATTATAGGTAATATATATATAGATATATAAAAATGCAATATCTATCATTGAGTCATTCAATAAATCAAGAAAATATACAAGAATAAAAATTACAACTTAATGAACACAGATCATTGTGGCTCGAGTGAGATCTCCAGGTATGCTCTCCACGAGTCAACTCTAGTAAATATATATATATATATATATATATCTGTTCTGTCTATTTTAATTTATCCGACTCTCCCGCAAGACACGCCATTTTATTTTATTTTATTTAAATAACAATAGTTCATTAACACATATTTACAAACATATTTACATATATACTTATTATATTATTTTATAGTATGTCTTATATATAAATAAGTTAATAAATCATTAGAATGGCCTTACATAGTCTCTTAATGTTTAATAAGTTTACGTGCACAATTAATAGTAGATGACAAAGCCTTTTCTGTCTCATAGTCCCTGTTTTTGTCTTACCTTTGCCATGTTGCTGATCACGCCGTTTCTGGTCTTCTTTCGTTCTCCGGAATAATGTGTCACATTGAGTCCCAAATTTGTTTAGTTGTACAGCCAGTATGGTGGAAATTGACGCTTCACAAAATAAAAAAAAATTATTGGCAACTACAAAATAAGTAATTATCGGCACATAAAATTTGTAAATAGGCGGTTGAATAATATAAAAAAAAAGAATTTTGAAAAAGAATACAATTTCATTTCATTTAACAGTTCCTACTTAAAGCATATTGTCTACCAATCTAATAATGCCTTTAAAGTATTGCTGGATCAATAGATAGAAAACCGAATGATCGAATGCGAGATAGCTGTAATAATATGAGACTTGTGCTCTAACAACATGTTTACTTGCTGCCATAGACCACGGAAAAAAGTGTGTGTTTAGGGATGTATTTTTTAATGTTCGCCGGGGTATGCTTAGTGTATTTTACCAAATCATCAAACTCACAGAATTACTTGCCAATTCCATTACAGTCAAAGCTTATCAAGAACATAATCAATACATAATTATTAAACTAGCAATTTTTCAAAAGATTAAATGGTCAATGTCTTTAAACGGTTTTCCTTTATGTCTATCTATCAATATTTCTATCTGGTTACTTATTTACTATGTTTTCATGTATCAAATTTACATATGACAAATATTTATAATAGATTAAAAAAAAATCTATAAAAGACAGCACGATTGATGGACAAGAATTTTAAATTTACACACCTTTATCTTTTACTCTTGTAAGTATTCCATCGACTTATTTACAGTATATATACTCACTCAATCTCTTAGTATATCATCTCTGTTAGTTGGCACTTTCAAAAGCATCGACCAAGCAAATCTTATCTCTCTAGTCCTTTGTGAATTAGAAGATAATTAACAGAACTACCCTATTCTGAAACCTTACTGTCAAGGTATTAATACAAAAAAACCGATAAAGGCTAAAGTTCCTTGGACTCCTACAAAGCCTGGTTTCTAAGGTCCAAACAGTTGCAACACACGCACCTACACACTCGTTAGGTACATAGTTCTTGCCGAGTTGGCACGCGATCTAATGTTCGCTTTTAACAGATAGAGTAAGCTAGTCGAAACCCCTCGCCAGTATCGCTGCACTCAAACGCCAACTGTGGCATGGCTTTGTCTCCTAAGGTAAATACTACAACCAGTCCCTATTTTTACTATTTTTACTACTATTATTATTTATATAATGCTATTCACCAGCGTACGAGGGAATTGTCGAGGGAATTGGATCGAGGGAATTGAGCCACGTCATATACGATTCCGATTGTTATTCAGCATCTGGTTTTTAATTATATACTAAAATACCCTGCCTATTTTTGTTTTTTTGTTAATGATTTGTTTCATTTTGGCTATATAGAATGAGCTTTTTAAAGTATGGTTGTTTAGTATATTCCTTTTTGTAACTAGAGTCCTTATTTTAGAAATTTTGTCAATTCCCTCGACAATTACATGGTGTTTTTGACCATGTAATTGTCGAGGGAATTGACAAATATATCCATTCGGAATCGAATAAATTACTATGAAAAGTAATTTTTCTTTCAATTCCCTCGATGCAATTCCCTCGACAATTCCCTCGTACGCTGGTGAATGACAATAGAACGCCAAAAATTTATGTCTTCAATTTCTCTTGATTCAAATTAGAAAGTGAAATAATATAATGTATGTATGTATGTATGTATGTATGTATGTATGTATGTATGAGTTATTATTTATGTGCCTGCTGTTTTGGTAGCGATAGTAATTATAGTGGTTATAATTACTATCTATACATACTCTCAAAAGAGAGAGCTGGAGAATAGGTTTCTAGAGTCAACAATGTCAAATTTATCTGTTGATATATTAATACCCTCTCAAGCTGCAATAACAACAATACTATTACCTGGTATAGCTACAAAGTAATCCGATACTTCACGGCAAAAACGCGCTCTATAAAGCTCTGGAGGGAGTACTGTAACCTCTTTATGTGGCTGAAGTTTCAATTTACTTTTGGACTCTATCATCTTGTACCAAGTAAAAGTACCAATAAAATCTATTATGGAAGTATATATATATAATTTAGTTACAAACGAGCATTAGTAATAATATTAATAGTAATCATTATTAACTTACCAACTAAGCCTACACTCAATTCTTGTTTTTGCTCATCAATTCCAACTAACAATGAATAATCCATTATATTGCTCTTCATCAAAAATTCAGTATCTCGCTCAATTGCCTCTTTCAACAAAGCGCGGGCTTGCTCATGAATAGGAAATTCCATACGATAGTCTAAAGGTAAGACAAAAATTAGCTTTCTCTGACAATATCAAATATTATTTTTTATGCTTCTAAAAATGTTCCTTTATAATAATTATATAATATAATGTACGGATTATAAGATCATTATCATTATCATTCAAGCATTTACCATTAACCCAATCCCCGTCCCACAAGGTCGTGACACTCTTCTCTTTCCGGCTCTCTTCCATTCGTCGATCCTGAATCCCTTTAAAGTCAAATCTCTGAAAATAAAGTCAGGTCAGAAAAAACATACATTTCTTAAACGCATTTATATATATATAAACGAATCCTTACTTTGATAATAGACTGTCCATAGAACAAGTGCTCCATAACCAGAACATCTATATTCAAAAATACTTTCTTATCTTCAAGAGACCGCATACGGATAGTGTAAAATCCAAAGATCTTTGTTAGTAATGAAGGTGCCTATTTGTTTTTGTTTTTGTTTTTAAAAGTAAATGAATAAATAAAGATTAATTAAGAATATATATATATATATATATATCATATGAAAACCATACTAGAATTCATTTTACCTCGGCACACTGTTTCATCGCATCAAAATATTTAGGCGCAAATTTAAGAAAGGTATCTTTTTCGGTTAAATTCCACGCGTTGACCATTTCTTTGACTATCAAACGATCATCTACCATATGCATTTACGTTTACACGCATATACGGGTATACGGGTATATATGTATGTATATGTGTACATAATTCTGATCGGTTAATCGAATTTCCCAAGTCATTGAATACATCTTGGATTTACCTCGTGTCTTATAAAAGTGACTCTTGCTTTTACCTCCGCCAATTGCCCATCCTTGGCATCGACTAAGAGATTGTAGAAACAATTGATCAATACCACACTGTTTTCGAAGACCTTCGAATTCTTTGGCATAATATACAACGCATGTAAATTCCATAGTTTCATGTACAAATTCTCCAAAAAAAAAATCAACACGTGGATTAACCTTTTTTTTTCATTTATGTATTTAATATATTTATACTTACTATGTTTAAGATGTGGGCTCATAACTTTGTTGTCCGGCTCATTTACAAGAGATAATCCAAGAGTCTGATGTGATGACCTTCTTCCATGGAAGTATGACGATAGCTTGATTTCTTTTGTAGATTCATTTGCAGCCATCGGTGCAGTTGCTTTCTCGGTTGTTTTTGTGTCTAGCACTCGTACACTCATCTGTCGCTCAAGATCTTCCTTTTCAGAAGGAGTCACAGGCTCTTTTGCAGTTGGAGTCCACAGATAGTTCTTCAAAATGCCAGATATACTACCATGTGAACTATTCCGAGCCTCATCTACATTGATTTTAAATGTTTCCATTACCATTGTTCTAAACGATGCTGTTTCACTTGCGGCACCAGTAGAGGGTGCAATGTATTTGCGCTCAATAGTAGAATAGTATCCATCGACAACATTTGGTTGATTTGATAATTGGGTCTTTTCAATAGCAGCCTTTGAAACGTCTCTCATATTATCGGTTGAATCAAACGAAGACATTGTAGGCAGTGGAATATCGGTTGATTTCAGGGTTGTCCGCTGAGTTCCATTAGAACGAATTGAATCGTTAGACTTTATGGTATCAGATCGTTTGAGACCCTTTGATCGCTCACAGTTAGTCTTCCTAAAAGGTGCAGATTCTAGTTTCATTTCCTCCACATAATCACCAGAACTGAATAAATGTTAGCAAGGATTTTTTTTAAAAAATATTAAATGAAATTAAACAATTATAAGTTGTATAGTGAAAAAAAAAGATCAATACCTTAAAGTGTAAGCTATGATGGACGATGGCTCATCTTCACGTACAAGAATGGAAGAAGATGGGAAACAATGTATTTGCTTTGATCGGACATATTCAGGGGCATCCCATACACATTCGGGGGCTTGGATGTCATGCTCGTGTTGCCATTCGGACAGACGTTGTAGTAAACTGGTGGTCTTGAAAGAGAACGACCGTCGATAATCATTGAGATCACAGCCATCGGTCATACCCAATTCGTGCATAAACTCTTCCTTGTCAATCAGCAACGTCTTTTTGAGAGCAGCAAGTGACGCCTTGATTTCAACTACATTAGAAGCAGCAGCAGCAGCAGCAGCAGCAGCAGCAGTAGTAGTAGTAGTAGTAGTAGTAGTAGTAGTAACAGTTGGATTGGTACCAGAATTCCTTTCATCTATAGCAGTAGCAGTCGTAGCAGTAGTAACAATAGTGTCAGCAGAATTGCCATCAGCAGCAGTAGCGACAGCAGTAGGAGCTGTGATAACCATTAAAGAATTTTGGAGGATCACCAGATGTCGAGCTATCGCATCAAAGAAACCATTGATTTCCTGTTCCACAACCCCGCGCCATCGTTTTTGAACAGCCTCGCTCAAGCGAGAACTACGGCTGGGGGGAACCTCAGAAATAGCAGGGGGTAAGTCAAAATGTACTTCTTGGTCTACAGGACGAGCCACAATTTCATCAGGCACAACTTGAATTTGAGGGGCATTAAGATTGTACACATTTGTGGTTTCGTATGCCATCTTGACCGTAATACTATGGGCACTTGATCCCAGCCGAAAACATCGGGTGATAGCCTTCCGACTATTGGCGTGTGAACACAATGTCGATGGAGCAACAAATCTTTTGCTGTAAAACATCAACTCTAGGTATTTTGAAAACGAGTAATTGTATGTGCCAGTGGACATGGGTACAGGAGCGGTTGTAGCATCACACACATTGCAGGTCATCCATATTGTTATATTGTGTACTGATGTGGAAACAGTTTCAGGGGTATTAGGTCCGTCTTCTTGACACAGGTAGACATCAACTCGATGCTTAGCCTGCGCGAATCGTAAGATGTGATCGAGCATAGGCTGACTGCACTCATGAAATATTGTCTTGCGTGTTTCAGGTTTGTTGGTTGGTTGGGCGAGAGGAGATCCTTTTTCAAGTGAAGGGCTGTCAGGTGGAATACGAAAAGTAAGGCTTGGTTGATGTACAAGTGCGGGCGCAAGAGGTTGTCCATCTGGGGAGCTAAAACGTTCTTCAATACGATGTTTACATGCTTCCTGGCTGCGATTACACCAATGTTCAATTATTTTCCCAAGTGGCTGATCTGCCGTAGGGTGAAATGCTTCCAGGTCATCATCTTTACAAAGATGATAATCAAAATATACAGTCTTGCACAGAATAGGCCCGATACAAGGTCGATCGGGGCATCCAACTGGATAACATGTGTACGCAAGTGTCATTTGCTGATGGCGTACAAAACTATCGAGGGTGTTGTTCTCTAATAATAGATGATCAAGTCCTAGCTTGTGATCCCTTACTGATTCTGGAATGCGCAACAAAGAATACGCTTCCACTGATTGAGGCAAGACAATCGAAGGTAATAAGAAGGATTTTTGTGGGGGATCTTCTTCGCGTTCACCATCAACCTTTCTACGTTGGCCTAAAAAAAGACTCGATGCTCGACGAATAAGATGCAGTTTTGAGGGCATGATTGGCTGGAGAGGTTGCTGAGGTTGCTGAGTGTCATACACAACGGATCGAATAACGTTCAGGTTTTCTTCTTCAGCCTCAAGTTTCAGAATTATGCTTGGGACAGAAAACGAGCAATCGGGAGATGAGGATACAACTGCCATTTCAAACTGCTTGTGCATCTTTGAATAGTGGTCTAGATCTGATGCGATGGGTCCTGGTTGATTTGATTCTTTTGACTGGTACTCTTGACTATTTCTTCTGAAAGACTTAAAGGACAGTCCACCCGACAAGGATACGGCAGTGTCTCCGGAACTAGCTAACCCATCGGGTTTCTTGGATATTGACAGGCGTGGGATAAAATGGGACCCTCTTCTAGGTTTTTGTTTTGGCGGATCCGCTGTAGACTTTTTTCTAGGCCAGAGCCAACCAAAGGGTTTGAATTTCATTGTATGTTTTTCTGGAATAACTGGTTCGGGGTCTGGATCTAATTGCTGTACATCTACTACAGGAGGGTCGGGTGAATACGAGACGAGATTAATGTGATGGTCTCGCATAACATGAATCTCGAGTGTCAAACTATGTAAGACATATATTGTGGCTGCCATTATTTTAGAGATCTTCAATGTAGCCCAGGTGGGGACTCCGTAAAGCCTAATTAATCCACTCACAGTCAAGGCATGCCAGGGTAAATCAGCTTGAAAAAAAATTGTAGCACAAATTAAAATACAGAATAAATAAACTCAATCAATCAAAGATGCATTACAAGATACATATAAAGAATGAAAGAAATAAAGAAGCAAAGTTTGAATCAAGGCTATGTATTTAATTAATCACTTACGCAACAAGCTTGATAGTAGGTCTCCATGGTGTGCATCAGGTATATAACGTGAGTGACTAGCCGTATCACATGAAAAGGCTTGTATAAACATTCCGCTCTGTGCTTCGTGCGGCACATTGGTTGCCATACTGGCCACCGTTATTTTTTGTCGTGTCATGACCAGTTCATCCGAAACTTTGATGCCAATGTCCATCAGCACATGTGCCCATGGTGATGTTGGTACTTGTTCCTGAGCCAGCCACACATTCAATAGCTTCCATAAATGTGCTCGGGATTCTACGTCAAGAGGTAACATGGCCTGGTTAGGATTCATTTCCGGAGTAAAGAAAGGAATAGAAGGTGGCCGAAGATTGGATGAGGTTAATGAAGGAGGGGTCGAGCTCATTGCTTGCTATTAAGTAAATGTAAAATGCAAGAAACAAAAGAAAGAAAGCATGGAATAAAAAAGAAACCGTAAAGAAATGATAATTGGGTGAAAAAAAATCGTCTGGCCTTGTATCGTCCTTATTGTCTTTTTGAATCCTTGTATAAACAAAACAAAACAAAACAAAAAAAGATGAACTCTATTCATCGTTTATACATACGAACATACATATCTATATATACTATATTAAACAAGAATGAATTTTCAATGGTACCTTGTAAAATGTATCCATAGTTGTTTAAATAAACGCCCAAAGGCATAAAGACCACTTTCATATTTTTATTTTTATGGTCACTTATATTCCGTCATAAGCGCATAATTGCAAGCTACCAAAAAAAGATGTCTTTTGTATACAAAGCCTACGGATACATATATAGTTGAGAAGAAAAGTAATGTCAAACCTCGCATTTAAGCTAGTTAATAAGCAATGATGAAGTGTATTTTGAATAAGATTTGCTTGGACTGTGGTACAAGCATTATTATTTTACCAACCAGTCCGTCCTGTCGGTCAATTGTAAGGACGGGTGATATATTTATAAGTTCAGTCAAGGTGTGGTTTGTACTTACAGTTGTTCATGAATATTGGTTAATAAGCAACCTTACAATGAGAGAATTAGCACATCTTGTTTTTGCTGATTATTAGAGATTCTTACATGTAGACTGATTCTAACTCTTTGTATACACTGCATACATTCATACGCTCTCTGTCATGATCCTCCTTGAAAGCAGAATAATAAACAAACTAATCATCCGGGCTCAATTTTGTCTTCTGCAGCTCGAGTCGATACATCGTATATCATTATTATAATGTCCAACCCAAGACAAACAATACATATTCCATTCAAACTGTCAATTTTTCTGATTGTTATAAAATATGGTGGTTTATTTCGCCTTGACTGCACCTAAAAATACAGCTTACAACAGTCTTCAAGTGCCTCATCACGTCCTCACGAGGTTGAGTACAGAATAATATTGTGTTACACACTTGAAGCTTTTATGTATCTGTGCGTGTTAAGAATAAAAGGTATACTGTAGAAAATAAGGTCCCAGTTTTTGAATATAAATAAATAAATAAAAACTTGCAACCATTCATAAGTTAAACAATCCGATCATCCTTAAAGCGCTCTTAGCATAGTGAGGAACATCAAGACTTGTATTGAAATGAATACTCAGCCATGGTGGTGCTTATCTAATTGTGGTCGACCGTTTTTTCTTGGTGGTTAACTGGTCTCAGTTTACATTTATAGACAGAATTTTCACTCTTTAAAAGGGCAGCACATTAAAGTAATATATACTCACGAAGTAAAGTGTCGCATTTTGGGAATCAAAAATATCCGATATTGCTTTATATTTAAACAAAGAATAGTGATTATTATATAAGTAATAATAATAATAAATTAGATACTTTTTTTATACTGCTTATTGGAAAAGAATATCCATTCATAACAGCCAATTACTCTTAAAAGGTCGACTTGCATATTCAAATTATACGACTTGTATTTTAAAATCGTGCGCCTTGTATAGCGTGTTTTACTCTTATATTACCCAATGAGTTGATCAAGGATTATTTTTCATCGTTCGAGTATTCATTCGATGAGCACCTTATCAATCGCGATTTCTATGTAGTTCCATTCCGTGAGCATATTTAGCGTGCTATTTCAGTTAGGAAGATAAACTTTATATTTAAAAATTGATTTATAAGATTGCATCAAACGTATTGTTCAGATGGTTGAAGTTGAGTATATTAAGTGTATATTTACCCTAACTGTTTGACTGGTTTAAATAATAAGTGAGAAAAAATGATATTCTTTTGGAATGGCTTAACTTTTTTTTTGCCAACGTTAAAGCTGATACACGTATATTTAAACTTGAAATAATTGGACTATATAGGATTAAAAATCAGAAATGAATATTGCTATATATGATATATTTATTCATTTCCGTGTATGTATAACGACGTGTATTTCTGCAAACTTGCCTTTACTTCCCCAATGGTGCATCAGGCAGTAAGCTTTTATTATGAAGAGTCCTTATAAAAGCGTCAATGAAAGGATAATAGTCGTGCTTCCTGCGCACTTTATTAATCTACTTATGGTGAATAAGCACTCACGGGTTCCACGACTTTTTCTTTTTCACTTACCCGTTCTTCCTCTCTCTTTCTTGTGAATTTTAAAATCTTCTTCTTGATAACTGTTAGGTCAGCTTCAATTTTGGTATACTTCTTCGTAAGTACGCGTAGAACATGTTTGGTAACTAGCTGATCCGAAGCTGTGTATTCTAACGAAGTCGAACTCGACTTTTCGGCTTCTTCCAATGTTTTCTTTTCAAGTTTTATTCGGTTTCTATATGCATTGGCAGACATATTTTTCTCGTGAAAAAGTCTTTTGTAGCTAGATAGTTCATCATGTACAATCGCAATTAAGTTGAAGGAGTTGTTGAAAGGGGTTCTAGGGAAATGAAATACACATTATTATATAGTGAATCAGTTAGTTCATGAATCAAACAATCAATAAAATAAACCATTATCTTTGATATTACATTACCTTTCGATTAACTCTTCTAAAATTCCTTTTACTGAATCGACCCAGTTTTCAGCAGGGGAAAGTTCTGGATGTTACAGCACATATATTAGCATAGGATGCATTATATTATTATGTAGACATACTTATTTTCACAGGTGCAGATTTTGTACTATCCGTCTCCCATAGGAACCCATTCTTGAATACATAGCTCACAAAATGATAGTCAGAGCATTCAGAACTTGAGGATACTGCATTGATCTCTGGGCTACAACCATCGTTTGGTACAATAATGGAATGTATACAATTTAGGTCTGTTCGATATTGTTACTTCTCTTGTCTTCTTACCTGGAAAGTGAATTGTTCGTTTCACGTAACATTTTACTTTTACCAATGGCAGCACCTACATCCTGTATATATGTATGTATGTGTGTGTGTGTGTGTTACGCAATTGGTTTAAGCATGCGTATCCTCATTGTTGAATAGTCTCTTGTACTCAAATGGTACTAACAAATCTTACATCTGAATTGGCTCTTTTAGATAATCTATTCAAATTCTTGAGTTCTTTACAAGTCTCAAGACTGCTATCACAGTTAAGGAGAACACTTAAAAGTGCAGCTGTAGCACATGCATTCTTGACAACCTATACAATGAATAGTAATATTTTTCTTAAGCATATCTGACTGTTAACTTTTTAAAGAAAAATACTTTTAATTACTTTAGTTGCGAAAAAAAAATCTTTGACTTCGGGATCGTCCGGATCGTCTGGATCGTTGGGAGCAGCGTATTCATTGGATTTTTGGTCTTTATAATCCGACACGAAAATAAGGCCATATACTTGACTATATTAATGTTTAACCTCCAATAGTTAGATAATACACATTCTGTTTGGTTGGCATCTCAAAGAATTTAGGACTTAATCTTACGTGGTCTCCCTAAGCTCATCAAAGTTCAAAGTAACGACCTCTCGAGCGATAATGTCTCTAATCCCATATGATTTGATCATCTTTGTAAATACATCTAAGATTATATATAAAAGACACGCAAGAAACAAATACGCATTTTCTCTCTTTAAACTCTGTACTTAAATTACTTTAAAAATATTACTATTTTTATTAATTCCTACCGTGGTCTGATTCGATTATATGCCAATTGTCAATAGGTGTTTTGCGTTTAGTAAGGTAAGATTGTGTGCATAATTGATCGATTCTAAAGGTAGCTTGATCTGGGTAATCAGAAAAACTAGTAGATTGAGAACTATTTTCAGAAAGATCGTTTGAGTTGTGTTCAGGATTGTTGAGATGATTTTTGAGGTAAAGGTATTCATTGGGAGCCTCGTTGACACCAGTTTTTTGCTTATTGAATAGCTTGGTGCTAGTAACGGCAGCAGGTTTTAGTCGAGTTTTAGGTGGCATAATAATATTTGTTTAAGACAGAAAAAAAATGTCGAGAATAAACGTGTTTCCTTGCGTTGGTTTTTAATTAGGGCTTTTTTTTAAAAAATATATAAATAAAACTGATGCTTTAGGCGTTCACCAAAGGGTCATCGTTCAATTCTTTGTTAGTGAAGAGTGTCATTATTTCCCCACGGAACATTGACAGTCACTTATTTTTATACAAAAAAAGAAATGGTAATAATTAATAAATTAAAAATTCATATAGGCTTTGGTAATATACAATGATAGTAACCTACAGAGCTCCAACGCAGCTCCCAAATCGCCTCTTCGTGAACAGAAGCCAGATGTTGTTTTTGTATAATTTCGGGCGGTTATCTGGCTGATGTTGTAAAAATGAGAGGGCGTGGCACCAAACATAACAGAGCTTAGGCTTACGAGTGCAATCACGAGAGCTAAAGGGCATCTCTCGGCTTACCTGCACATCGATTCTTGAAAATTATGCAGTTAGGATTTATACAAAGTAAGGTACCTTTATTGACTTTGTAACTTTCCTTCTTTCCAGAAATCCTTGGGCTGGTTAAAGGCGAAAGTCAGAATATACACGTTTGGGAGGTCTTACATTCATTTGTGATGCAGACATTGGCTGTCTTCCCGTGTATCTTCTGATTCCACTTCTCACAATATTTTCTAAAGCTTTTGATTTGGGAACTTGCACCGGTCTCCCTGTCAATAATAAAGAGTATCAAGGGCATTTTGGTGGAGGACTTATCTGGTAAGCCAAAAAATTACGCGTTAATAAAAATCGATTACAATAGTAATATTGGTAACAAATTATTACTCTCTGAATGCTTAAGTCTCAATCTTTCTCATCGGCAGAGGTGATGACGATATCGATGTTGTTGGATTTCTACTTGTCTTTTTTGGTTGATGATTTTCGCTGAGCTGTAGAAATCCCGCAGTCTTTGTCGTTGTTCGTATTTATCACGAAAGTTTTTTATTGCCATGCCAATAGAAGTGATTGGGGTAGACTCCGTTTCTCTCATTGAATCTTCTATTAAAAGCACCTCTTTTCCTTCATTTCTATGATTCTTTCGTCTTTCTAAATATCTCCGTTGCCGAAAACACCCATAGCCAACATCAACATCACTAGCCTTCGTATTCGTAACTGATGGCAAACGTAGAAATGATTCTTCGTTAGATAAATTTAAGCTGGTACTATCTTTATTGGATTCATTGCTTAACGCGATGTAATGGTTGAAAAGTTTTGGGTAAAACTTCATTCTTGGTAAATACATCGGTATTGACGTTATCATATTCACCAGGTCATTGTCAGTGCCCGCATAGTTAAACTCATCAGGATTCACAATAGTTCGGTCCTCCGTCTAAGTCATTTACGTATTTTTCTTTTAATCTGGACTCTGTTAACTGGAGAAATATCTTTAACATTATACAATTTTGATTTGAAACGAATTGCCATCTGTCAGAAATAGAGCTATTACATTTGCCTTTTTTCTGCGAGTTTATTTCTAATCTTGTTCATATATCTATATGTTCTTTTGTTTTCAGTTTTTTTTACTGGTAAAAAAAAATTTATATTGTATTAACTTGTATTTGAGCTTATTTTATTAAAACAAACATATTCTTCAATAAACTCTATAAAGTCTCAAAGCATTCTTTTATACATTTCTATCTATTTTATTAATGTTTTGGATACCGAAACTTCACATCTGTGATAGTAAAAAAACAAGTTCATATAAAATGAAATTACATCTTGTGTCATTTATTCTTGTATTGAAAGCATTAATGTAAAGAAAAATACTGAATTTATCTTGAAAACAAGCTTACATTTGAAGTGTACAATAATTGGAGGGTCAGTTCGGATTTTTCATCAATTTCATGGAGAGTTGTTGGTATAAATATACCACCAAGTTTCTTCTCGATAAAGAGCTTGTCTTCTTTTACAATGCTATGCCAGCCTTCTATACACTCTAGTTCACTTCTACCAGAGAGATCACCGCAATACTTCTTGCTTTTCGACCCCAAACAAACTACTCTTCAACTTTTTTATGCTATATCTTGGAATAAAAAAGGCAGTAAAAGAAAAGAAGTGTGTGGTCAAAATCAAAAATAATCCATTTTAGGGGAAGTAACGCTGTTTTATTTTGCTGTATTGTATCTATACTTACAAATACAGCTTGTATTTTGTTGCTGTCCGATGATATTTCTGAGATACCTTATTGAAAGTTTTTTTTGCTATTATTAATTTATAAGAATTTCAATCATTTAATCATAAAAACAAACCCAAATGTTCATGAACGTCTATATACATTGTAACAATGTTTCAGCTTTGTTCGCCCGTTTGTTTAATACTATTGCACGCTGTTTCTTGTGGATCAAGAAAAAATTAGGATACAGAGCACCCATCAGCCAGATATATTTGCTAGGTATAGAATGAAAAGATGTGTGCAGACTTTGCCTGACATGTAGAGATTTTCTGGTCGTGTTTCTACAGGAGATGGAGATGAGATATGGTGTTGCGTGGAGAAATGATGATTAACAGCTCTTCAAGAAATGTAAAATAATTGTAGATTGCATCAAGGAGTATGTGGCTACTCACTATATAATCGAAGAACCAAATGTCAAACTTTTGGATGTAAGCAGAAGAAAATGTTGGATTTTTAATTGTTTTTAAAATATCAAAATACATTGTTTTTTTTGTATAAAGAACAAAGTCTTTTTATCATCTGTCCTCCTGTGTTTCGCTAGCTACTCTTGTTATGCCTTCTCAACTACTTTTTGCTCATTTATGTATTTCTTTACATATTTTTTTTAAAAAAATCATTCTTTAGCTTTCATTGGATCACTTACATAGCACAATACATAAGACAGCTTCACCTGTATCCAAGTCAAAAACGAATGGCTTTATTTTTATAATCCGACTTAATTAAGTGTTTATTTAACAATCTACACTTCTTTATTGTGTTTTTTCAGAGCGAGATCCTTCACATGCACCTTTCCAGATACTTCCATCCTCATACACTTCTTTTTTCCATATTGGACATCGGTCCTTGAGTTCATCGATTAAATATGCCGTGGAATTAATAGAATCCCCGCGATGTGTTGAAGATACTGCGGCAATTACGCTTGTTTGTCCTACAGGAACACATCCAACACGATGATAGATGGCTACATGCTGAATCTTCCATCGTGCACGTGCCTCTTGAATAATGGCTTTAAGAATCTTAATAGACATGAGCTCGTAGGCCTCATAGTCTAATTGCAAAACTCGTTTTCCTATAGTTTAACAAAATATGATACAATACAATACAATACAATACAATACAATAAATAAACTGTCCTATAATAATCAACTCCTCAACATTCTATTCTAATTACCTTGAAATGAATCTCGAGTTGTTCCCAAAAAAACTGTTGTTGCACCAGCAGAGTCATCCTGAACCAATTTTGTTATCGTATCTACTAAAGGTAACTCGTCTTTAGTCACAACCAAATACTCCTTGTTGTATTGACTCATGATGAATCCTTCTTTCCAAACTTAATTTCCCGCTTTCTCCCTCCGCTTTGATACTGGTCCCAGTGCTGGGATTGTGGCTTTGACCTGAGCACTGGTGCCAATTTTTATTATTTTTAAAGGCCCCGCTTTTCTACATTCTTGTTTTTTGACCTTAGAAATCACTTATTGAAAGCTATTATACAATGACAACAAACATCTCGGAAAGTGCCCAAAAACTTTCTCTTGTAGACAGTATGTAACTTGAAAAACTATAGGCACTTAGTTTTTACTATCATTCTACGCTATCAAAGTATACCATATCTGACAACATTTTCTCTTTCTGAATATACTAAACAAAACAAAAGCTATGTACGTGGATGAGATTACTGGCTCTGATGATACCGGTAAAGGTTCTGAAACTGCTCCCTTTAAGACTGTATTGAAAGCCCTCGAAACCGCTGGTGAGACCGCTAAAGTTCTCGTCAAGAAAGATGCCGACGGTTACAAGGATGCCTCAGGCGCTGCTATCAAAAAGGCAAAGAAGACAATTGCTGAGCAACTCAAGAAACGTCAGAAGCAGGAAGAACAAAAGAAGAAGCAAGAAGCTGAACTAAAAAAGAAGGTCGAAGAAGAGGCCAAGGCTATTGAATATGCCAAGTCCGTTGTCTTGGTTGAAGATAACAGTCTTCCCAAGGCCCAAAAGGTAAACATTGGTTGATTTTATATATATATATATATATATATATATATATATTACACGGGCTGATATTTATCGGGATTATACTATAGATCAAGGTTAAGCAGAGTATTGAGTCCAGAGGAAAACGTGTGAAGGTTTCTGGTTGGGTTCATCGCCTTCGTGTCCAGGGTAAGGACATGATGTTCGTTGTTCTCCGTGATGGTACTGGCTACCTCCAGTGCGTTCTCACAGGAAAATTAGTAAGTGCTGTTTCTTGTGGTTCATGTATATGAATTGAGAAAGAGCAGAGCTGAATAATAAACATTCACTTATTAAACTTGAATTTGATATATATAGTGCCACAACTACGATGCTATCACCTTGTCCGTTGAGTCTACAATAACTGTCTACGGTGTCATCAACGCTCTCCCTGAAGGAAAAACCGTAAGTTTGGATACTCTAGAATATATTTAATGAGGTGAATCTAATTGTATGTACCTCGCAAAGGCTCCAGATAACCATGAATTGGTTGTTGACTTCTGGGAAGTTGTTGGTAAAGCCCCCAGTGGTGATGACGCTTTCAACAACAAGGTCACTCAGGATGCCGATCCCTCTTTCCTCTTGGATAGTCGTCACCTTGTCATCCGTGGTGAGACTCAGTCTGCTGTTCTGAAGGCTAGAGCTCAGGTTATCAAAGCTTTCCGTGCCCATTACGACTCACGTGGATATACTGAAGTTACTCCCCCTTGTATGGTCCAGACTCAGGTTGAAGGTGGCTCTACCTTGTTCGAATTCAACTACTACGGAGAGAAGGTAAATAAGATTTATAAATACATATTCAAAGGTTATTAACAATTACGCGTGCACATTTATATATGATATAGGCATACTTGACCCAGTCTTCCCAGCTCTACCTCGAGACCTGTTTACCTTCGCTTGGTGATGTTTTCTGCCTGGCCGAGTCTTACCGTGCCGAGAAGTCCCATACTCGTAGACATTTGTCTGAGTACTCTCATTTGGAAGCTGAAATGGCTTTCTTGTCATTTGATGATCTTCTTGAGAGCCTTGAAGACCTCCTGTGTGATACTATTGAGCGTGTGATGGCTGATGAACCTACTCGCAAGTTGGTTGAACAGCTTAACCCCAACTTCAAGATGCCAGAGCGACCTTTTATGCGTATGAAGTACGCAGATGCCATTGAATACCTCCGTGCTAATGATATCAAGAAGGAGGATGGCAGCTACTATGTGTTCGGCGAGGATATTCCTGAAGCCCCCGAACGTGCCATGACTGACAAAATCAATCGCCCTATCTTTTTGACTCATTTCCCCGCCGAAATCAAGGCATTCTACATGCAAAAGGTGCCCGGAGATCGCAGAGTCACTGAAAGTGTCGATGTACTGATGCCTAACGTCGGTGAAATTGTTGGTGGTAGTATGAGAATGGACAACAGAGTAAGTCTAGAATGCCTATGCATATATATATATATATATATACTAATATTAATACTTCTGTGTTTAGGAAGAGCTTTTAGAGGCATATAACAAAGCAGGAATTGACCCTACCCCTTACTACTGGTACACTGACCAGCGTAAGTACGGAACCACACCTCATGGTGGTTATGGTCTTGGTGTTGAACGTTTCCTTGCATGGCTCCTCAACCGCCACACTGTCCGTGATTGTTCTCTCTACCCCCGTTTCACTGGAAGATGCACACCCTAAATTCGATATTTTGTTTTATGATACTATAGCTAATAATTACTTAAAAAAGAATATACATCTAATAAACCAGCATATTTTTTTTGTATTAAATTCAATATATTATACTGTGATATAGAAAACCTTATTATTAATTACATAATTAAAGCATATGTATATAAATGAATGTCTGGCTTGGATATTGAGTTCCACAAGACCTGGATTTTGTTTTGAGTATCTTTTACTTGTAATCTTTTGGATTTATTAGGTGATTTTAAATTGTTAAATAAATATATATATATATATAACATGTACGGCTTTGAGATAGAAAATGGAATGTACGCCACAATTATATTTATATTTATATATGTTAAGAAAGAAAGAAAAAATGTTTAGCGGGATATCGAAACAGGGAATGGCTTGTGTATTACTTATTCGAACTGCTGGGTGCATAGTTCCGGACGCGATACCCGCGTCACAAGGGCATATGCTAGTGTATGACTCATTTCAGAAGAAAGTATAAGAGTTTCTATTGCTTATTCGAGAATAACCAATATTGATATTTTTTTCGTATGTTGAAAAGAAAAGAATATGCTTTATTCCAGCTATTAAATACTATACAGTAAGAGATACCATAGATTATAAATTTATATGTGTGCTATTTCCAAATATATAAGAAAAGAAGAAGGATTTTGTATGTTACAGTTAAGTTTCGTATAACAAAAGACGCAGCAAGCCTGAATTAGTTATATTTAAGCATATTCTGGCCATAAAAACACTTTTGTAACTATGGACTATATTTTTCCTTATTTAAATGTTTCACACCATTTTACCAAGAAAACACTATCTGATGAATTGTGCGATGTAGCAAATACGAAGTCTTATTTATTAATCCTTTTTGATTTATTGGAAAATATTTTATCTTATGATTTTTTGCTGTACCTATTTTTCTTCTTCTTCTTTTTCTTCTTCAAAGGCTTTTAAACTTTCGGAAATAATAAAACTGAAAAGTCTTTTTCATAAGTATTGTAAAGTTTTTTTTTTTAAAAAAAAAATGGGTACCTATTACCTTACGAGGTTTATGCCTTGGGATCAAATTATAAAACTTCAAAGATCACAATATAGTGCAAGCGTAGAATATATCTATGATCCTGCATCATATTTTAAAGCATTATAGACTTATCTAAATATACAAAAATGCCCATGAATAGTTTAATGACTTTTGTCCAAAAGTATTTATTCTCCTTGACAAAATTAAATTATAATTCCAAGCTTAACATACTTCCTGAATAATTTCTTTAAATGGTGTTTAGACGAAGGTGGTTGTTTATTTTTCTTTCTCTCTTCCTTACTGTCTCTCTGTTGTGAGATTTGATAAAGACTTGTCCTACCACACAGGACTAGATAGACCTTTTAACGAGAAATCTTAAATATCGACTAAAGCACAATATAAATATAGGTGGAGAAAATTAAATTAAAAATTGAAAATTAAAAACGTAAAATAAAGAAAGGTGAAGTAAAGCAAATCTATATCATCTTCTGAAAATTCTATTTAGCCATCAAGCACAGCTTGTAACGTCGATATAGAATGATGTAAGACGAGATAACCCTATTGAAATATAAGATTTTGCACAAATCGTATAAACAGAATATGCGATTAATATTTATTCAAGGTATAAATACAATCATCATCTTCTTTTTTGCTCTATTGTCTACTAATGAACGTATAAAAGGATGTATGATTCGCGCCACATCAGTTTTGGCTTAATTATGAGAAAGGATATGTTCGTGTCACACGAATATCACACCTGGGACGCGGTATAGCTGTCAGCTGCCTCCATACCCAAATCTATACTCATCTCACCACCTTCTATTTTGACTGATGTGCACTACAGTGGGACCTGTGATTACCCGAGAGAATATTTACTGGAAACAATCAAAAACAAGCTACAAAACAACCAAAGGCGTCAAATATCTGTACAACATGGAAGGAGACCAAAAATAAATAAACACAAAAACATACATATATACACAGCTTAGAATAAGTTTCTTTTTTTAAAAAAAAAATACAGCAAAGAGGTTGCATTTAGTATATATATGTATATATACATAAAAAATAAGAATTGAAGGTTAGTGCTCTATGCTGGTGCACTGATAACCATGCAAATTCTATAAAGTAGAAAGTGTATCTACTTTCCAGCGGGTAAGGTAACCAAGTAGGTTCGTTCCGCATGTTGTACAGGTCCCCCTTTTCTCTTCCATATTATTATTTTTCTTGTGATTTTTTTTTATTACCCTGATCTTCAAAACTTCCTCTTCTTACCTCTTTTTTTAATTTTACTTTTACTTTCTTAATTATTTATTTGATAATAATGGGTATATCGGGCAGATCGCAAACATACATTGACATTGATCTTCACAACAATCGATTTTACTTTCCAGGAGACATCGTTCGAGGTAAAAGAGAGATGTGTACGGTTTTATTCTTAGCTCTATATCCCACCAAATATCAAGCACAAGCACAATCACAATCACAAGCACAAATACAAATACAAATACAAATACAAATACAAATACCAATACCAATACCAATACCAATACCAATACCAATACCAATACCAATACCAATACCAATACCAATACCAATACCAATACCAATACCAATACGAATACGAATACGAATACGAATAAAATTATATATATATATATATACATATATCTTTTCAGGCGAAGTGATACTTGATCTTGCAAAACCCACAAAAACACAGCACATCAAACTTGCTTTAACTGGCGATGTTCAAGCAGATAGCAATTCGGTCAAACTATTTACAAAAACAATACTTTTGGCCGAGGCTCCCGACAATAAAAAGACGTATATTTTACCAGCCAAGCTCCATAAATTCCCATTTGAAATACAGATACCCACAAAACAAGAATGCGATCTTCCAAGTAGTGCAGAGGTAACCAGCTTTTATTTTGTATTTCTCTTTTGGTAAATCAAGACCACCCAGCTTATACACTCTGTACAGACATTGAAACACGGTACTATTCGGTACTACTTATTAGCTACACACAACAAGGCAGCCCTTTTTGGTGCACTGTCTTTACAAACAAAAAGGAGCTTAGCAATCCTTGAACACATTGATGTCAGTTTGCCGCATTACAACAAAACAGCAGAGGTGACCGCAATATTGTCCCCAGCTACTACTATCCATGACCACAAAGTCCATATGAAAGCAAGTATTCCAAAAACAGCTATAGTTCGAGGTAAAGGAACCAAGCATGTATCTATATAATTATCAAGCCTTTGATTATATATTTATTTTGTATAAATTGAATTGTATTACTGTCGTTTAGGTGATATTCTACCTGTGACCATCGAAATTAAACACTTTTGTGTTATGAGTCGAAAATCGGCAATCAAAGTACAGTTAATACGTCGTCTTCACTATGGAAAGACCAAGTAAGTAGACTAACTAGAGCTGTAAGCGTAGTAAACAGAGAATATTTGACTTATTCATCAACAAACATTTCTAGAGGAAATATCCTCGAACAAATTAGCATAAAAACTAATCTCTTGAACATCAACATTAAAAATCCCGCCAACTTCTCCCAAGTATGCCTAGCAAACATATTCATACCTACCAAAACCCCCCCTACCATAGATCGTTGTGGTAGATTAATAAGTGTTGAATATTTCATTCGGATCATTGTTAATATGAATGAAAGAACAATCCAGCCAGACAATCCTAAACTCTTTGTTTTTATGGAACTGCCGGTACTAATCGGCACATTTCCAAGACCAGAACTTTTTATTGACGGTGAAGATGACTACGATGAAGAACAAGAAGCGCTAGAACAGGCAGAGGAAAAGAAACGATGCCAAAGCAAAGAGAGTAGTAACCTTAATCTCTCACAGTTTGGGATCTCATCTCCTACATTAACAGAGTTTCTTAAAGACGAAAAATCCAATATACCCCATCCACATGAAGAGACATTTTGTGTGGATATACCGTCAGAAGGAGCCAACCGAAATCCCATATCACCCACTCGAACCCTTACTCGCTGTCCAGACATACATCGGTCTTCAATACCAATAGCCTTGTCAATCGCAATGAGCCATAGAAACTCAAGTGTATCTGATACTAGTACCATTGTAGATAATTTAACAACGTCCATAATACGTCACGGCACCCAACGTTCCTCCAGATCCTTTGATAGCAGATTTTCTGAAAGTACTCAAGGGTCAATTTCTACCCTTCAAGGAGATATAAAACAGCCAACAAAAGACTAAGGGGTTAATTTTATACTTCATACAGTAGAAGAAACTCACGCGGACTACTTTGAGCAAAGCTATAGTGTCAAATAACCAAAGACATCTTCGCCAAGCATTTAAGCTCCAGCACTCTATATTACCCATCTTATTATTACTATTTTACTTTCTTTATTTCATAAGCATACAAACAATTTTAATAGCTACTGACGCGTGTTGAGTTTGTTGTGTGTGTAACTTGGTCAGAAAATAAGAATAAAATATATTGAAGAAGAATTACAAATGTAATTCTGGAGCACGAGTTCGGGTGGGAAAGAGGATAATAAAGAGAAAGGTGAATATGGAAGGGATACAGAGTATTTAGAAAGGCGATTGAATGTTCAACTTCACTCGGGACAGTTGAGGATGGAAAAGAAATAAAAGTGTTAAGGTAAAAGGTGAAAGGAGGTATAGGAACACTGTCGATTTCGCTCGGGACAATCCAAACAGGTAAAACAGCAAGGCACAGGAAGGTAAGGTAGAAGAAGAAAATAAAAATACTGCTGATTTCACTCGGGACAATCAAGACAGATAGACAGCAAGGTACGAGAAGATAAGTTTAGAGAAGAATTTAAGAGAACGCTGTTGATTTCACTCAGGACAATCACACAGATACAAAGGGACAGAAAGAGGAAAAAGAGGAAGAGGGTTTTGAACAGAGATATAAGACTTTAATGCGATGTATGATTGCTTTCCTACGGGTCAGGCAGAAAGCAATTCAGGGACGGTGATTTTAAGAGAGAGATAACTGATGATGTTTATTGTAGTAAAAATAGGTCTCTTATATACCTTTGAGAATTGAAAATAAAATGAAATAAAATATGAAAATGGAATGTTTTTTTAGAGATTGTAGATGTGACTTATAGCGTGAGAAGAGGTAATATGTAAATGCGGGTAGACGTCAATGTCAAAATGGAAAGAGTGGGATAATGTTTGTGCTTTTTGGTAGAATGTAGGGGTAAGGTGTTAGAATATAATAGTAATGGTAATAAAAAGGTAATAAAAATGAGGTATAAGATGAGAGATGAATAGCAGTAATAGTGGAAGATAAATAGTGCGAGAAAAAGGAAACTGGAAACTGGAAAAGGAAATGGGAAGATGTATGTAAAAAGGGTAAAGATGCCAAAAGGAGAATATGCACGGGAGATGAAATGGAAGTGATAATAAAGGTAAGAGTATATGTAAAAATGTGATTATTGAAGAATGTGATAATATGTAGAAGTGATAAACGAGAAAAGTAGGAAGGGAAACGACCGGAGAAGAAGGAAATAAATCAGGGTGGGCGAAGTTGGAGAACACACAACACCCGTGTCACTACCATATTTTGAGTTTTTATTTTATTTTTATTTTTATTATCCCACCGAGCATTTGTCATTATTACTATATATTTTTCTTTTACTATTCTTGATTCACTTTATAAAGGGACTGCTAATAATTTTTAATCTTTTCATGTTTGCTAATGCTTTGAATCAAATCAAGCAATTAATTGGTGTATACGATTCATACATGCCAATCGCCTCGAACGATAACCAACAAAATATAATGTCTACATTGACTACTGAATGCCACCGAGAAATAAGTGAAGAGGAACAGCCAGGATCGCCACCTGAATCATATGGAGTCTCGGCTGATGATCATACCCAACCAAAACTACTGACGGTTGTACCAGATGTCAGTCTAACCATAGATAATTCACCGAATACGAGCAATGAATCAGAGAATGAGTCATTAATTTCCATATCAGAAACAATAACGATCGTTTCTAACATCATACCTGATGACATTGTAACTAAAGAAGTATTACAGCCGACTGAAGAAGAAAAGGAAAATGTGTCGGTGGATAATACTACTCTTACGAAACGCAATGCAGAGAGCATTGATCCTTATGATGGATATGATCATAATAATTCATCTAAAAATAAGAAGAAACGCAACAAGCGCAACAAGCAGGCCATTAAGGAACAATTCTCTGTAGAACCTGTGTTCTTTAATGGAGTCCAAGTATCTTATACGCAAGAAACAATACCCAAGGATATGGAAAAGTAAGTCATATCACACTGACCAAAATAAGATTTTTACAAATAATTATAGGTACTTTTATCAACGCTATTCCTACTTTTCAAAATTCGATCAAGGTATTCTGATGGATAAAGGTAAAAAAAAATGGGTGTATTGAAATGCATTCGGACGAAGGAATTTATAATTGTATTTCAGAGGGATGGTATTCCGTAACACCCGAGAAGATTGCAATTGTTACTGCAGAAAGGTGCCGGGCTGACGTAATTATTGATGCATTTTGTGGATGTGGTGGTAATTCGATTCAGTTTGCATTTACTTGTGAACGAGGTAAATATATATATATACAGAAGTAAACACTGTCTAATTGAAGCGGTTTTTGACTAATGGTAAATTCCAGTGATAGCAATTGATTTGGATCCTGTCAAGTTGCATTGTGCACGAAACAATGCGAGAATTTATGGTGTGGAAGACCGAATTGAATTCATTCAAGGCGACTTTTTTAAACTTGCGCCTACTCTCCAGGTAACTCCCCCTCCCCCCCTTTTTTTGGTTTGGTTTACTTTATCAATATTCTTTTATAGTGCCTCATTTGCTATATTTTATTTATTTATTTCTTGCATAGGCTGATGTTGTATTTTTGTCTCCTCCATGGGGTGGACCTGATTATATTGGGGCCAGTGTTTTTGATCTTCATACCATGATTCCAGGAGATGGGTAATATACATTTATACATTTTTATTTCCTTAAAAATAACGTTCTTATATATAAATCATGTTTAGAACAAATATCTTTGAGGTAGCTTCTCGAATTACACCAAACATTGCCTATTTTCTTCCTCGAAACACAGATCCAGATCAAATCGGTCGCCTGGCTGGCCCAGGTGGGACGTGCGAGATTGAAAAAACCTACCTTCGTGGAAGTTTAAAGGCTCTTAATGTATATTATGGCGAGTTGGTCAATCCTTATTTATTAGAAGAAGAACAAAAGCAAGAAATTTAGAATAAAAATAAAAAATGAGACACTAAATAAATGAGTTTTTCATACTTAATTATCAATAAAACATTTTGGTACATTTTCGTGGCTTACAAAAAAAATATCTTTACACTTGTTTTAAATATATTTTATTTTACACTCTTGGCAAGGAATTTCGTAGATCAGACATCGTATTCTGAAAATCGTCGATCTTTTCCTTTACTACACGTCGCAAATATAGTGTACGCTCGTCAGGCCTAACCAGCCTATCCATGCTTCCATCCATAGAGATACGCTCAAGAACCCTGTAGATTGCCTGGTTGAGTGCTCTGACATTCTCTGTTACCATCCTCATGGCATCATTGATTGGCCACACATCCCCTTCTTGTGGCATTTTTGACAAAAATCCATAAGCTCGTTTGTGCTTTTCCAATGCTGTCATTTGATCATCTACTTGTTTTTCTTCAATAATTAATCGATTCTTGAAAGCCTTTTGCTATAGATGGTATTGATATAGACGGCAAGTTAATTAACATATTGGTCTATAATAGGACATATATACCGTCAAGAGATCTTTTCGCGCCTTTTCAAGTTGCTTGTTTAAGTCAACTTCATCCTCTTCAGTACTATCGAGATCAAGATCCTACGGTGATATATATATATATACTATTGTTTAATTAAAATACTTTTGTGGTTCGCGTATATAAGGCATACATTATTTACCTTGTAGTGATCAAGTGTAATATGAAGACTTGTAGGTAATCTGAGTACATTTCCAACAACGTATTTTTGTAGTTCAGTATGAGCGCAATCAATTTCTGTTTCAACACGTTTGTCATAGACCTTCCAATTCTGACAGTATGAAAACCTTTTTTTAAAAAAAAAATTGCAGTTTTTCTATTATACAAACATATATTATATTATATTGATAAAATACCTCACTAAGGGCTGCAATATCTATCCCTGGAAGAGATTCAAAATACAACCGCATGCCTTTCATAGCCTCGTATACAACTTTATTGGTTGTATCATATATTTCATCCATCACCCGCTCGGGAAGAAATCCCATGTGTTCTGCTAGAAACTCTGAGTCACTATAGAGTCTTGTACTATCCATTTGTAAAGAAAAAAGAAAAAAAAAGTCTTGAAATTGGTATTCTTTTATGTCCTTTTTTCTAATAGAAAAAAAAAGGAAACAAGAAAAAAACACTTTCTCTTTGGATAAGTTCTTCTGCGATATATAGATATATATATACACACAGACCAGCAAACACTGGAACATTGATGACGTCATGAAAAGGATTAATATACAAATTTATACAAACGATGTATCAAAAACCACATCTACTTTTAAGAAAAATGTGCGATAATGATGACTCAATCTATCGTTAAGTAGAGTATTGCTGTCATGAGCTTTTATAATCTGGAACCCATAATTAAGATAAATAAACATGTAATTCTTAATTCTATAAACCAATCCATCTAAACATTCAAGATTACAGCAATCAGAGCTATACTTGCTTTGCTTGTTCTACATGTTTGGCACTGTATCTCAAAATCTTAAAATAATAATTTTATGTATTTGTGTTAGTTTGTTTGTGCTTATAGAATTTGATGAATATTGTTTTCAGAAACCAAAAAGAAATTTAATGCCATTCACCAGCATACGAGGGAATTGTTGATGGAATTAGAGAGCTTGCTATCTGGCTTTAAATACTGTATACCAAAAGTAGCAAAATTCTTAAATCTGTGTTTAAATTATTCATCGACTTAGAATAGGGAGACGATGGTTGTGATGAGAGAGAAAAAACAACCATAATGACCTTGTTAACATAAATTTTTACAAATAATGCCATTCACCAGTGTACGAGGGAATTGTCGAGGGAATTGACAAAATTTCTAAAATAAGGACTCTAGTTACAAAAAGGAATATACTAAACGACCATACTTTAAAAAGCTCATTTTATATAACCAAAATGAAACAAATAATTAACAAAAAAATAAAGATTGGCAGGGTATTTTAGTAAATATTTAAAAGACAGATGCTGAATAACAATCGGAATCGTATATGACGTGGCTCAATTCCCTCGTACGCTGGTGAATGGCATAAGAAAAAAAAAATTATGTAATACTTAGGGCACTCAGTTGATTTTTTATAAGTGAATTATTATTGGCTTATAATTTAATTCACGAAATCAGAACAATCAAACATCTAAAACTGCTGAAACACCCTATTGTCGCAACGGAGTATTAAAAAGACAGCATTTTTTTGTCTGTTTTGAATAGCCAATCAGTAAAAGGTCAAGGAAATAAAATGGATCCCAGATTTTTTGTACTACTGCGTCTTTAAAGGGGTCCCCTACTTCTTTGGCATTGGTGTCCTTTGTTATATATGAAATACAAGCAGTCATATATAAAAGTAAGATGACATCTAAGATTGAAGAGCTCCTCGTTCTCTTCCTCTATTGGTAGCTTATCCAAGCCACTTATCAGTCTCTCGAAATGCCATTGGATTCGGTTACTCTTCATTCACAATTTGACGGTGCTCAGACCTCTCTAATATGTCGCCGAAACCAGGTTTCTGGATTGCAGGTAAAACGAGAACATGTAGTGAATATGGCTAATTCGCTTAAAATATCTACCAAATTTAGGATTCTATCAGTATAGAAAATGAATTATCTGCGGCAGGTAATTTTCTCTTAAATGGATCTTCTCTTAAGAAAACCCCACTAAACTTTCATATAGACTTTTTTTCAAGAGTATAATTTTGTCACAAGCCAGTGTAATACATATTCCCTTACAGATGATCAGTAGAATATTGGTATAAAAGGTAACTTCTCTTCATTGTACATTAATTCAAAGATGTTGTGAGTTTAAAATCTTCTCAAGTAGTATATTTATGCTAACTATGATCACTATAGCGGCTCATTTGTCTTTAGATTCTCCAAAATTGCCACCTAAAGATTTTGCTTCACCAGGGTCTTCTCAATATGATCATAAGAATGGTAAATGATCATGTGCTATATAATATGTGGTTATTCATTTAATAATCATATCACTTTTAAAGATGTACAGCAAAAAAAAATTCGGTCACAGACACAAAATAGTCCAGCTAAGCTTGTTATTAAACACTATAAGCCAAATGGTGCATCAGCACTAGAAGCCAGCCTTATGGACCCGACAGTCTCAAAATATTCATTTACCGAGTGTTCATATCTGTCCAACTCCAGATATAACTTTGAAAGACACCTGGAAAGACACTCGAATAATCCAAGCAGATCTCTTTGTCATGTGTGTCCAAAGGCATATCACCAACACCCACCTGAAATAGTTTATTTAACCCATGTATTCCAATTATGGCCACATCTATGTATTGTATTATTTTTCATTTATGTTTTCTTTTGTACCTTGAACAGTCGACCAATAATTGGCACAAAACAGAACCAAGAGGGAGTATGTGCTACGTTTACTATGCATTATGTATTATGCATGCTTTACTTTATTTTACTAATGTTTCGTATATAAATCGAAATCGAAATCAAGATTTTAAAATAAAATCTTTCTTTTTTAAAGTGAACAAAATGTTCGAAAGTCCAAAATTGAAGAGTTTTTGGATTTTATGCTTATTCTTCAATATATATATATATATGGAACTTAAAGTTTCTCTTGGCATAGAGCTTTATCCAGATAACCCTAGATGACTGCTCATGTAGTCTAGTCTAACCCCAGGGAGATTGCAGTGTTTTCCTCTTCTTCTTTAGCAAGATAGGTAACAAAGCTTCCATTTAAGGCCATGGTTATTACAATATTCTTATTCACATTTATCTTTGGAGCAAGTAAAGCTTAGCTGACATTGATACACATTAAGAGTGCAGAAAGATGGGATCACAAGTGTGGTAAATAATATGACCAAGTGCTCAAAAACTATATGTATCAAATAGTCCCCGTAACCTCAAAACAAATTTTGTGATTATGTAAATATGGAATAGTAATATTATCAATAATAGTAATGTATGGTAGTTGTAACAATTATAATATAAAAAATTGGGAATATCTAAGCCTCAAAGGACCTAGTCGATTACAAGCAAAAAATAAAATAAAATAAAATAAAATAAAATAAAAATGGGATTATTTACAAGGGAATTTTCGTGATGATATTCTCTCTCGCTCTCTAAATATCATTTGCCGTACAAAATAATAAAAGGCAAAATTGAGATTATGCAGATTGGAAGATACGCGAGTGTTTTCATGAATTGGCCTGTTTTCTTAGAAGTTCATGAGAGGTGTGTGTGTGGATCCTCTTGGATAGACAACCAAAGTGGCCACAAAGAGTCCGACTGTGATGCCTATATACAAAGAAAGATACAATAAGAGTTAGATCAACAGTGATTGTGGAAGTAGAAGAGAGGAGTTTGATGATTTACCGATAGCCGATTCAATCATACTGAGTGCGAATCCGGCACCTTGATTAGAATATTCGTTGCTTGCACTCGTTCCAAACAAGCCAAGAGCAGCCTTGAGACCTTTAATAAGAAGTGTATTAGTCTCAAAATTTCCAGATTATACTTTATTTATCATCTCACCTAAGCTTCCAGGTACCAAATAAAAAATCTAGGTTGCCGAGATATATGTTTCAAATTAGTATTATGTTTTCTAGTCCATCGAATTAACCCGTGTGTATATTTGGCAAGGTGGGTTTACTTACGGCCAATAGGACAGCATCAAACGACATTTTCCCTGTGAACTTTGTCAGGAGATTTCCAATCAAGCCAACTGCAAAGGACGGAACAACTTGCAAAACTTGCTGTGGGGCGTTGGCATGGCAAGAGAGTGCCCAATTAACCACAAACCCGCACACCGAAACAAATACCATTGTCGGCCAGCGTGAAGGCCGTGCGCGGAGATAGATACAGTAAGCAAGGGCAAATAATGGAACTGTCAAGAAGTAAAACCATTGATTCTCGACTGTAATGCAAGTACCGGCAGATAGGGCATGCTGGCACTCGGAAGATTGCCCCTGTGCACTGATGGATTCAGGCTCAATTGTTCCGTACAGCTGAGATCCCATCTCAACACCATATCCTAAAAGAAAAGAATACAGGATTGCATACACCATCCTCACTACACCGCTCACTAGCTGTCGTGAAACCAGCTCGATAATAGCTACAGCCATCGAATATCCAGGAAGAATGATAATAAAGGAGGAAAAAGCCACAGGTGTAAAGCAAAAATCGAATTTCCAAACAGCTAAAAAGCATAAGATTGTCAGTTTTATAAATATTGTAAAAATAGAGTATGTGCTTACATCTGGAAACGAAACCAATAAATATACACACGGTGATTTCCCAGATTGGCTGGAAGCTCATAAATCTTCCTGAATAGAGTTCGTAGATAGCAAAGAACACTTTACACAACAAAATCAGCAACAGAAAACAGCAAAATTAGTATTATTGTTTGTCTGCCAATCAACTTGATTTTTACTTACTTGCTAGGGCAGCCGACAAGCCCGCTTCTTTCCATCTACCTCCATAAAACATAATTGCACCACAGAAGCTGGCAAGTGCATAGACAAACGGATTCAGCCAGACAGGATAAAATAGTGGCTGGTTGGTAACTTGGTCAATAAATTCCAAGGCTTCATCTACTGAGACTTCGCCATGAGAAAGTAGTTTTTCCAATCGATAGACTTCGCCTAGTTTGTGCATATCAAACACTTGGGATTGTCGAATAAAATGTGTCTCGGTGGTGTGGGTTGACTGATCAAAAAATGTGACAAACATCACATTGGGTATATAGACATACTCGGCCTCAACACCTAGGGTAGTTGATACCTGACGCATAATGTACTCTAATCGATGAGCTGGGCACCCATACATCATCAAAGATTTGGCTAATTTACGCAGAAATTCTTGTTTCTGCAAAATATTGGCAATCTCAAAAGTAATTCTGATTCGATCTTCGAGTGTGATAGGTTCAAACTGAGATGCAGTTGTGAACATACTATCGATTGAAGTTCTGCGTGACATTGATTGAACAGAGGCACGTTTACGCTTCTCCAGACTAGGAACCAGATGACTTGTGGAGGCTACTGTAGTCAGCCAACTCTTGGGACGATTGACAAGTTTAGGACGGGTTGGCGTTCCAGGCGATTCATCGGTCGAGAACTCGTACACAGATGAGGCACGCTGAGTTTCCTTTTTACGAAGCTAAAATATTTATAATGTTTATTTTGAAAGAGTAAAAATTTGCAGTTATATAAAAAGCAAAAGAGAAGAATAAATAACTAAATGTTGAGGTTATTCACATCAACACTGCTTTATTATTTACCTTTTTTGGGAGCTTAGGTTTGAGCGATTTATTTCGTTTGGGAACAGGGCGGCGCTGATGCCTTTGAGATTCTAGCTTCATCAGACTAGCTAACACACTTCCACCTGTGGGTTGAATATTGACTTTTGTCGAATTAGTGTTGGTAGGGCATGGCGACACAGGTTCGTCTTCGGTGTTCCCTCGTCGGGCGCTCAAGATACGCTGTACAAGCGCGGCCGATTCGGCTACATGATCTGGAAACCTAACATGTCTATCTCTCGCCTCGTCGTGATCTAGTGCAGCCTCGACCAGCGTATCTGTCGACCCACGGGTTTCAGGAGACAACTCGCCTTTAGGGGACTCATCTTCTTTGATATCGATTGGCTCTTTTAGATCGTCATATTCTGCTTCGTCTTCTGTGTCTTCATCTGAGCTATCTCCAATTGTCATTCTTGCGTGATGGGTGGTTATTTCTGAAAGTCGCGCAGGAGGTGTTCGAGATAGATTACCAGTATTTGTTTTAGGAGAAGGTGGATTGATCTGTTGAGGTTCGTGATTTTCGTTCGAGGTTGTCAGCTGTAGCCGAGGTAAAGATGGCCAAGATGAAGCTGTTTGTTTTGGCAATCGAGACTCGTCGTCGCCGTCACTGTTGCCCATAGAAACGAATTAATCGATAGAGATCTACAGGTTAAAGGATAGTAATAAAATAAGAATAAAGCAAATAAGAATAAAAATAAAAATAAGAAACATGCACTGGTTTTGGATATTAAATACCGAAAAAGATGTCACACAAAAATAAACATATGGAATGTCAGATATAAAATATAAAATATAAAATAGTAAAAATAAAAAATAAAATCAAACAATTTATATACAATAGGCCATATCTCAATCAAGCTCATACCAGTCATTCGATTCAGTCTTTCCGTATTACAAGCTTTAGATTTCACACTCAGACAATGCTAGTTTTTTTTTGGGCAAATCAAAATTAAAGTTCAGACAATCTGCTCACCTTTTTTGAATAAAATGAAAATGAATATCAGACATTAAAAAAATTGAATTTGGATAGTACATTCGGGATTCTAATAAAATAGTTACTAAATATGTAAATAACGAGACGGGGGACGGCTCAGGGAAAGTGGGACCAAAACTGTATAAGGAACATAAAAATAATATATTGGGAATATAGCAGAAATAATATAACAAGCGTTCATCTAATAATTGCAGTTGATTGACAAAAATTCGGTCGACCATAAATTTCTTTCTTTACTGCTTATTGTAATGCGTGACAGTTTATTGCAAACCTGTCGCTGGTGTTAGTATTGGATTTTAATGTTCTGCCCTTTTATGGAACATTGACTCTATCTATAAATGAAAAATAAGGCTGGTCGGCTGCAACTATAGGTGAATATCTATTTTATTTTATCTTCAAAAAAAATAACATTTTCTGAATTTAAAATGTAAAAAAACTGTACTCAAACACAAGTCCAAATACAAGCTCAGGCGAAGTTTTTCCGTTCTGGCATGATGTCATAGTACTAGAGTTGACAGTACAAAAAAAAAGTACTGGAATTGAATTATAAGAGGTACCTCTCCCTGGATGTCACTTTTTTCACCATGACAATATATACCTTTTTGATAGTATCTTGTAAAAAGAGCATACCTTTAACTAATATGACAGCATAATACAGTATGAGATTTTATTAGCAGCAACAACAACAAAAATAATGATGATGCTAAATACTAGTAAAATCTTGGGTCTAAAACAGCATATTTCTCTTACAAATCATAAATCTAATGGGCTATTTAACTATTATATACTTTGTTTCATAATGTATGGTACTGACACCATTAATACGGTTCTTATCAATACGCCAGTTATTTTCTCTTATTCTGAAAGTGTTTCTATGGCAGTAAACACATTTTTTTCTACCTTCAGAAAAAATAAACTTTAAAAAACCTTATTTTAATTTTAATCGATTGTAAATGATTTACAATTAATTATGTTGTTTGGTTTGGCATAGGTTAGTTTTGGCCTCAACGGAATAGCTGAGTGATGTCACGCTGTTTGTTTTTATATTCATCGTCATTGCCATTTAACAAGCCTTATAGTTACAGGACCTATACCTTTCTTGACCTCGAATTATCAGCTACCTTAATGATAAATAATAAAATAAAAATAAAAATCATGCGCACGGTATACCATTTTAAATTAGCAATTGAATTTTTGTTGAGGGATTAATATCAAGAAATCTCCTCTTTGTTAACTGCTACTATTGTATTATTTATACAAAAATACTCACACACACACACACATATATATATATATATATAACATAAACATTGGAATTGATGTTCTATTGTGTTCTTGTAAATAAAATAACAGCCAATGACCCATATCAATATTTTATCATAAAAGGGAAATATAAAGAAGGGGAAGGTTATGATAATAATTTTGATACCTGCATTGATATTTATCGTTATTCTTTTGCGCTGGTCTAATACATATGCATTTTTCCTGAGATAAATACTTTGTATAGAATACAGGGATTTGTACATATTGACTCTACACATAATATGTATGGCAGAGGATAAAATATACTGGGTGTACATAAGTTTACTCAATCTCAAGATGTTCAAGACACAAATTTCCGGTCTTGTTATGATTTTCCTTGTTTTATTTTATAAATTACAATAATAATTTCAGTCAATACCAGATCATAGAATTTGTAAACAGAACAATAAAAAAAATATCCGATTACAAAATGTTTATCAGAAATCAGGTTGGAGACGATCGATTCCTTAAATGATAATAAGTCCAGCCCAAAAGACTTTAATGAATACAAGATTTATTGCTCTAAGAAATACGTTTATTAGAAAAGATATTAAATCGGCGTAGATAACCGTGGGGTTACGGAACATTTCAGCTAGAATCTGATTATCAATTTGATTTCTACAATACTGTCCCAAAAGAATATGCCATCATTTCCACTGTTAAATTAAACATACAGAGTATACCATGTTTATTTGACCGTCAAAAAGGAAATTTAAAATTGTTGTTTTTTTTTTACTAGTTTTTATTATGATTATTGTTAAATCTCGGGTTCTTTTACCTTTATTTCTTGGTCAATCAATATATCTTGCCTTTATCCCTATACTGTGTGGAGCCTAGTCCGGGATTATGATTATGATTATGATTATTAGATAGTAAAATTAAATGTTTACATTGAATGCATTTGACGTGATCAAAGTGGCAACATCTGCAAGGCCTAGATCAATGGGTGCATAAATGCGTCTGTATGTGTATGTGGGAGATTACTATTACTATTACTATTATTATTATCATCATCGTATGTAAAGAAAATAAAAAGAGACGGTGCGCCAAAAAAAATGTGTGTGTGTGTGTGTGTGTGTGTGTGTGTGTGTGTGTGTAGATATATGTAGGTGTGTTTGCGAGTGTATATATGGTGGAATGCTGTAGAGAAGGTATAATACAATAATGGTTATTTTTTAAAAGGGGTGATCTGATGTACAAGTGTGTCGTCGCTCCCATGAAAGGATTCATCCCAGCCTTGTGTAAGACCTGAACGAACAACAATTTGTGCTAGCTGTTTTGAAGGTGAAATACAAATTTCATGCGGATGAAGTCTGTCATAGATCAAGAACGACTGCTCAACAACGCGTTCTTGACGTTTCCCTAAACACACCTTGGCACGCGCATGTGACACAGTCCGTCCATCATTGTACTCGGCTACAAGGTATACTTTAACAGTGCATTCGAGCCATACAAGAATATCCTCCAATGATCCACTCAAAAGCCAACTTGTGTCGTGATTCTTGACGGGCCAATTATCATGCCCTGACTGTTCGATTGTTTGTACTACCCTTCGACCCCCAAATGAGAAATGAAAACTCAGGCGACGGATCTGGCCCTTTGCTTGAAGAACACTAGCTAGATGCCGGGCCTGTAGTATACGGCATTCCAGTGTATAGTGGCCTGTACCATGTCCAATATGCTGCACCAGCGCAGGTTTATCCTCACTCCCACTCATAGATGGCATTGACAAATGATCACTGACTGAACAGAGCTCAAATCCAAGTGGGTTAGGGGCTACCGGCCGTCGTGACGTCCACGACGGTTTGAAATTATTCATTCCTTTGAAGTGGTCAACGTCGGATGTGCTCGGGATATCTACGATGAACAACCCGGCCTTGATCTGTGCTCGTTCTTTCCCGACGGTGTGCCAATTCCCTTTGTCAACTACATAGTCATGAACCTGGGCTGGCTCACGCCGGCCATTACGCATAACCACTAGCCTAGCAGTGTCCATAGTAATTTGTATATTTCCAATGGGGATCTTGGTGCTATCTTCCGAGTAATATGAGAGCTCGAGAACGACGGGTGTGCACCGCTCACGGAGGCGCCGGAGCATCTTAAGCGACACAAAATACACAAATGTTGTTCGCCAACTCGGTTCGGCCGTGCAAGGAACTGGACGAGCGGCGATGAGATTGTCGGCAAGAAGAAGATCATCGATTGAGGGTGGTAATGGTAAACGGATGCGACTGTAGATCAGTAGGTCTCGGTCAAGGTCTGATATAAATCCTCTTCCTTTGGGCAAGATGAGTTTGGGATGGTGTGTTTGATGAGCTTACCATCTTCAATCGCAACCAGGACGGCAAATTCGCATGACTCTGTAAGGTGAACTGCCATGCGTTTGAGAAAGTGAGAAAGAGAAAGAGATAAATGGTAGCAGCAACAGGACCAAACGGGTATATTTCAATAAAGACGTTGCAGAAACAATAAAGGAAAAATATAAATAATATATATAAAAAGAAAAAAAAAGACGAATTGGGTATTGGTGGAGAAGATCGTCTTTCGATATTTTCTGCTTCTATAGAATGACGAAGTCTCCTTTTAATACACACACATATTTATTTAAATCAACCCTCTTTCCATATATCTTTGTTTCTTTACTTATTTACCTCTTTATTTTGATGTTTTATTAATCCATATATCAACCTCTTTTATAGCCAATTAATATATCATATATTCATACATATAATATCGTTACACTTAATATCCAAAAATATTTTTTTGTTCTTAACAAAAATCACAAAAAACATAAAAGAAAGACCTATTATATACATACATGTATATATATATAATGTGTGTGTGTGCTTGTTATTCCTCTTTTTTTTCATTTGTATAATCAACCAACCAACCCACACACAGGTCAAGGTTCCTTATTTAGTAGATCCTTTCACAAGAATGCAACCCGGACTAGACTGTACCACCTGCCACCCCTCACGCTTAAGCCATTTGAGTGCAGTTGGGAGTAGTTTGGACTGTCCATCTAACGAATGCTTTCCAACACCCGTAACAATCTTTAGAGGTTTGATTTGACGACGTCCTATAACAAAAATCGTAAATTAATACATAATACAAACAATTCCTAGAAATCATACCAGACTGCATGTTGCTTCTTGACCACCATTGAGTTACACCTTCTTGAATAAGAACCTGCGCTTCAGCGACTGTCAGACCATGCAGATCCAAGAGATGGTCATCTTCATGCGCCAACCTTTTTGATAAATGTTATTTTATTTACTATTGAGTCCAATACTCCTTACAACTTCCTCCCCCCCCCCCCCCCCCCTTTTTTTTTTTTTTTCTTTGGCTTTCTTTATTTATTTGTCTTTACCTTTGGTGTCGTACAAGTGATCGGGCCGCTCGCATATTCCAATTTTTTGCCCGAGAGTCAAGCTGGCGCGCTTCATCCGAGTAATAAAAGGCTATACCTCCCTCACCCGTATTTTTGTTTTTGGCTTGCTGATACGCAGCACCTGCCTTGCGAAATAATTCATTACGCTGCAGAATAAGATCCATTGCCATCGTACGACACTCTTCAGGATCATCCTCTATATATTCTCGGTTGTTTAGTAATAGATATTCGGGTACCACTGGAAGATCCTTTGTGAGTTCCTTTTGATTTTTAGATCCTGAATTCGATACCACTGTCATATGTTCCATCTGACGAGCAAGTTTTAGACGTTCATTATCTAATCGCTTGGCTTCACGCTGTTCTTTAGTTAGACAGTACTCAATCGCCTCTTGGATCTTCTCTTCGCATGTACTATTCTCATCTTTCGATAGAATACCCAACCCAATAGACAGAATTTCGCGTTCGTTCATATTACCGCTGCCCATAATTTCAAGAAGAGCTTTTTGGATCTGCTCAAGATCATGCAGTTCATCAGACGACAAGTAGCGTCTGGGATCAAGATCACGATGCCTATCCATCAGATATCTAATCATAGCTATCAAGTCGTTGGGTCGTTTCTGAGCTGCCATCAGCAAATCATGATGAGATAGCTGAGGAAACAAAGGCTGGAGAGCCCCCAAAGTGGCATCGTACTTATGCCAGTGATTGTCAGAAACACAAGCCATACCATTGTTGTCTAATTCTCGCGTGTGTACACTAGGAGTAAGGTGACCACCGGAAGCCCATACAATCTTGGGTTTCTTCTTCTTCTTCTTCTTTCTTGGATGTTCTGTTGGTGTCGATACAGAAGACATAGGATCGTTACTACTTGAATCTTTGAGATACTCAGTTGTGAGTAAGAAATCAGTCGTCTTCTCGGTATCGTTGTCGTGAGTAAGAAGCGCATCCAATAAATCAGACCGTTCATGATCGGGAAAGCACATTTGCAAGAAATCCACGCTATTCTCCAGTTCTCTAAAATCATCTCCGACTTCCTCTTCACTATGTTCTGTTTTTTTCTTTTCTTGGTCTTCCTCATCCTCATAGTATTCATATTCTTCATTCTCATCAGATAAACCATCCGAATCATCACTTTCCGTTGGAGATTTGGGCCGAATGAGACAAGGTCTAGAGCTTTGGATAGATGGAGCATAGGGTTGTTTAGGGCTAGACTGGGCTTCAAAAGTAGACTGGACCGAAGATTCTTTCGAGAGTTCAGAGAGAATATCAACTGCTTGACTATAGTCATTCGTGTCTACCCAGATGGCTTCAACGAGCGAAGGGTCCAAAGTCGGGCAAAAATCTGCCTTTATTTTGGGGGTTGTGGAATATGAAATAATAGAGTTGCTTGTGGTGGTCACTGTCGTTTATTAACGGTATTCACATATTCATATTCAAGCTACCTTTAGGCGGTTAATATCTTCACATACGTCCATTTGACGTCTCTCGAAGCCTCGGGTAGCTTTTTCATATTGTTCATCTTTTAAGAGTCCCATATTCTTGGGGGTTCTATTTTCTAATAATATATATATATATTTTATATATTTTATATATAAAAAAGAGAAAGAGCTTGGTGCGGGCATTAAATGACTGTAATAAGTGAAATGTGACTGTATTTTATCTTAGTTGGAGAGAAAGATGGCTTTGGGCTCGGACAATGTGTTAGTGCGGGAAGAGAAAGGGACGAAAATAATCCTCCGACCAAAGTCGTGGACGCTGGTTGGGCGGATGGAAGTGGATGGCGAGACAACTCAATAAAGCCAGAAAGCGCACGGCTAGGCCATCCCTCCTTCCTTTTCGACTAAAAATATCGCACAACAATGGTAAGTCTTCAAGAGCAACAAAAACCATACTTCTACAAACAAGCTCAATGTATATACATATGAAGAGAGATTGATACATAAATAGATGGATGACAGATGGATGGACAGTCAAACTAATATTTCCTTTATGATTCTTTTTTAGGGTCGCGGTCCTAAGAAGCACATGAAGCGTTTGAACGCCCCCAAGCACTGGATGTTGGACAAGCTTTTGGGTAAGCTATACAACCATATTGAAGTTTGATCTTTTGCGGATATGGATATGTAAATGATGATTTTAAACAAAAGCAAAAGTCAAGCTCAACAATCCGATCTTTAATGACGATTTTTTTGTAACTGAACATTCCAATCAAGCAATTGATCAAACTTTACAAACGTTAAAATAATCAAAAATCTAAACATTCTCAAAGGTTCTTATGCCCCTAAGCCCAGCTCTGGTCCTCACAAGACCCGCGAGTGCTTGCCTCTCATTGTCTTCATCCGTAACAGACTGAAGTACGCCTTGAACGGTCGCGAGGTTCAGTCCATCTTGATGCAGCGTCTCGTCAAGGTCGATGGTAAGGTCCGCACTGATTCTACCTTCCCCGCCGGTTTCATGGATGTCATCTCCATCGAGAAGACAGGCGAGAACTTCCGTCTCGTATACGATGTCAAGGGTCGCTTCGCTATCCACCGCATCACCGAGGAGGAAGCTAAGTACAAGCTCTGCAAGATCAAGAAGGTTCTTGTTGGTGCTAAGGGTATCCCATACGTCGTAACCCACGATGGTCGCACTATCCGTTACCCTGACCCCTCCATCAAGGCCAACGATACCGTCCGCTTCAACATCGAGGAAAACAAGATCGCTGACTTTGTCAAGTTCGAGACCGGTAACGTCGTCTTGGTAACTGGTGGTCGTAACATTGGTCGTGCTGGTGTCATCGTTCACCGTGAGCGTCACGTTGGTGGTTTCGAAATCGTCCACATCAAGGACTCCCTTGACCGTGTCTTCGCTACCCGTATCTCCAACGTCTTCGTTATTGGTCAGGGTGCCAAGCCCTGGATCTCCCTCCCCAAGGGTAAGGGTATCAAGCTCACCATCACTGAGGAACGTGATCGTCGCAGAGCTGCTGCTGCTGCTGCCAACTAAATTCGTAGAAAGAAATTTCTTTCCCTTTAAATGTTGACAAAATAAAGCACACTTTTTTTCTAAATAGTTTTCAACTTACATCGAAATATAAGTATATATATATATATATATTGTTGTCTTAAGTGATATAATTCTACAAGTTTTATATTTCTTTTTATTTTGGAGTCGTTTAAAGGATTATAATCACTAATCACTTGTCAAAAATTTAAGATGAGCTTGTTTTGGAGTTTTTCTTTTTATTTGGCGTCTTTGTGTTTTTGTGTGTGTATGTAATTGGCTTACGACTAAAAATAAAACAATGATGTTCCTCAGCATTAACGTTCTGGAAAAACCTTAATAATTATCCCAAAATAATAATTGATAAAATTTTAAGATGTGGGTAGTTGATGCCATTTTTGTAATAACTATGGTAACCACAAGACCATAGTACACTTTCGAAAGCAACTCAAATAAAAAATAACAATGCTTTATGTTGCTTCTAAAGCGTAAAATTTCCCCAAAGAAGTAGTGTAGACTATTATTTTACTCGAATGCTTTCTTAAACTTCATTAATATTCTATTTTACTTGTTTCTCAGTGTAAGACTCGCTGAACTGCAAAATATGTGTCTTGTGAATAGAAGAAAATAATAATGTATATATTACATGTCACAACAACATAGAGTAGCATAAAGCGGCAAGTAAAAGACGTTACCAAAGCATTAGCAGCTTAAAAGTAAATCTACATTTTAAATATCCCACTTCTACTCCACCATATTGTTTTACAATTAATACAAAACATCCTTTCCCATCATCTCAACGCAGCACAAAAAAATAATGATAAAAAGACAATTTACTAAATTATCCAAAGAATTTAATAGCTTACCAAAAGGGCATTTTGGGGAACTCCTGTCATTATACAGGGCGGATTATTTATCTTTATCTTCTCCTCGGTATCAGTCTTATACGACAGCCCTCTGGAACATTGTCTTCTGGCATTATAATACATCAGATTCGAATGGGACAAGTGAATCGAGCAGGAATAGTATTTCAATGCTTCAATTGACACAGTATTTTCATAAAGTTCAAGACAGCGACAATATCTAGATTCCATAAATGACGCTTAAAAGCGTAACGGAGTCATTTATTTTAAATAATTTGGATTAGTAAATCTAAAATGGTTTATAAGAAGAATAAAGAAAAAATGAGGACTAGCTATAGTATTTCTTAAAAGACTATCGCGTGCCACAGTTGACATTTGAGTGCGGCAGTATGGGCGGGGGATTTTGACTTATTCGAAGGTTTGGAGAGAAGGTTGGGAGCACAAGGGAGAGTGTTTAGAAGTACCAAGCTCATCAATCATACAAACATTAAACCCATGTTTGCGAAGTATCTTTCTCGTTACTACACCCTTGATTAGCTTGTGGTATCTGTTATGGGGGGCAAGCTAGTTTCCCATGGCCAAGACACGATCTGGACCAAATTCAGCACGAAGATATTTGGCTGGATGTTCGTTGGCTTTAGATTTGTTGATATATGAGGAGAGGTAAAACTTGCGGAACAAATGCCACTGACCAGTCAGACTTCTGGTGTTTGAGTAAAATGAGCTGAAGATTGAGGAGCTTGCTGATTTGATTAAAGTATGAAAAGAAAAGTCTACGGTGTTATTGACTCAGCTTGAAGTTCGGGAGATGACATGTTCTGCAGTACGGACATTCAGTTGGGCGTTGTGATCTAGAACATTCCGACGAAACTTACCATTTTTAAGCTCGAATCTTTGTTGGTTGGAGGTGTATCGGTAACATCTTGGTTTAACTACAAAAGAATACTAATGATTAGAATATAACACATTTCTTCTACAATTGATGGAAGAAACAATGCCCATGATTTTTTCTTCGTGCCGGTCTGGTGGGAAGTTATGAATGTAAGGAATGCTTCCTGTGTTGATGATTATGACCCTTCTGAAATTGGGTTCTTGGTGGTGTCGTGGGTTTGTTTGATTTTAAATGCCAACACGATATGTTTGGATTGTCCCTCTAAGCTTCATTTTGCTTTTTTGGTGATCTCGGAAGGACTTGGTGTCCAAGTCTACCACACCTCCTCATAGGATGAGTTTTTTCACATATATTCTCCAAGTTCTTCTCAATATTTTCTGGTATAGGATCTTAGTATCGGCTTGTATGTAACATCATAACCAGAGTTGGCAAAGAGGAAAGCTGTTGATGTATTGACGCCCAAGTTTTTCTAGGAGCTGGAAAGTACGAAAGAAGGCGAGGAAGTTGTTGTGAGCAGATGCTTTAGAGTCCTATTAGATAGGGTCCTTTTCGGATTCATATTTTTCTGGGTAGGCAATTAAGATTTATTTATTGCTGTACAGGCATCTCTTTATCCTTACTTGGTGAATATATCCTCAAGTTGGGGAGTTGCCACCACTTCTTTGAGCATCCTAACTCACAATATTTCTTTTTATTATTATATACTATAATTTATGAGTTACATGTTTTGTAAGTTATATAATTTTTATCAGGAAAGTTAATTTAGTAGTCGCGTAAATCTTTATGGTGATTAAATATTTCTACAAGAATATATATATTCTAGTAGGTTCAACCAGTACCAAAACCTTGGCTATCTTTAATGGCTGCCCAGAACTCTTATTTTACTCCTAGTCAAGAATTTAGGTGCTGAATACCACAGTAAGCTATTCCAAAGATAGTAAGGCTACTACACATCTTATATATAATAGATACATTTCTGGGATTATTATTCCATAACATCTTAAAGCACTAATTTGGTTAATTTTACTACAAGGAGAAACCTGTGTGCACGGAATGTTAAACTTTGTTTATTTTATTCCACCAAACTTGGGCATAGTAAAGGTTATTTATTTAGGCACAAATTGTTTGTATAGAGAGAGAGAGAGAATACTCACAACATAAGAATGATAAGGGTCCAAAAAAAGAAGCATTCTTAAAAATAAATAAATAAATAAATAAATAAATTATGGGATGTATCGAGATCAATATTCTGAGGACATTTTTTGCGTACAGAGATAGTTCCCTTTTCTCTCTTTAATTCCTCATTCCATCTCCTCTTCTTGCCTGAACTTCTTTTGACTTGTTTAATGTTGAGAAAGGAGATACGTGGATCTCAACTATATAAGCAACCTACGTTTCCGAGCTATAAAGATATTAGTAAATACTGTCAGGGTAAACATGAAGACTATTGACGTGTTGGATACTCTTTTGCAAGCTATATACTGTCTTATAGCATTCTTTTTCTACATCAGTTCAAGTACGAGAATGTGTCAGCAGATAATTTTTCTCAAATTGTCTTTTTGCCATGCATTTTTTTAATAGTGTCAATAATTACAAGTGTATAATGATCAAGTATACAGTTTGTATTAATAGCAGAAAAAGAAACACTTGCTCATCTTGCACCTTGAATTATTGATTTTTTATTTTATTTTTGTAGAGTTTTAATATATCTTTATTTTATGATTACAGTTATATCGCTACTATACCAAGCTCTCTCTTTCTCTCTTTGTACGCATATGTTAGTTTATTGATTAACTAGATTTATATATATATACATAATTTTATACCGAATTATGGGATATATAATCCCAAGATTTCCAATAAAATTAAGCATTAATCTACGCCTATGAAAGTGTGATTATTATTATTAGGGCTTTAATTGGCGTTATTATCCATAGTAGGATTGAATGGCACATGAGCGCATTTTAACTAATTTCAAAGGCATACAAACCAAAGAAGAAAAATAAAATAAATAAAACATTGGGTCGCTAGCCCAAGTGGAATTGGCACTGTAATATAGCTGTCACTGTTAGAAGCGGGTATATATTATTGATTGAGAGGATTTATTGTAGGCTATTTTTGGGCTATGAATCTTGCTAGCTCCTATATTAAGTATCAGAGCACTTTATTTATTTAGTTCAAACTGGAAGCTGTGAGCTATTTACGGCACATTATTGTTGACGCAATACCAAAGGGCCAAAGTACACGCTATTGTAAAAAAATAAAATAAAAAAAAATACTGATTTAAGAGGGATATCAACTCAGTGTGTACTTTGGTGACTTTGCACTGATGCCCTCTCTTGAAGTGCCGTTGCATAAAGTATCCATAGTAAGGACACAATAGTTGAATCTCTAACTGGTAATACGATAATAGCTATTATTTTTATCGACTTTTAACCCTTTATGTGTATGTATATAGCTGTACTTATTCAATAACTTGCAAGATTTCTATAAGCTTATTTATTATTATACTAATGATAATGAATGATTTCATATTTACTAGCTAGTAAATCTTTTACTGTTCTTTATCACCATGTAATATAAATATAAATACAAATGAATGAACAAATGAATGAATGAATGTGTGAAACAACGAAAGAAAGGACAAAAACAAAAACAAAAAAGATAGACCATTTTGTTGATTTTAAACAATCTAGGCTTCCTGCAACCAAAGTCTATAGCTGCGATCTGATACTTTCTAAAGGATCTTTTGACTCATGCCTCTTTACTTATATTGTGCAGGCAAAAAAAAATCAAAGAGATCCAATACAGTCGTCGATAAAGAAAAATTCTCCTCAATCTGTTCTCGAAATTCAGTCTCTCTTCACCCCCTTACAGCAAAGTAAGGTGCGATTGCTCCTATATTTTATTATACATACATACATATATATATATATATATATATCTTCTTCTCTTCTATTCTCCATTAAACATCTCATATTAAATGATATGCTTAATTCAAACAACAGCCTCAACATAAATTCCTGTAAAAGAAGTGTGTTTTTAATAAATAATACCCAAGTTCATTCTCATTTAGACGAATATCCACATTAGTAACCTTGCCCATGGTAGATCAAACCTGCTTTTCATAATTTATAGCAATCGCTATGCCACTAAAATATCCTTCAATAGGAGACTACTTTATAGATTTATGTCTCTACCATTGCCACAAGACATACATTTCTCTCTATCTCTCTCTTATATATATATGTATGTGTGTGCGTGTATGTAAATTAGACGATTATGATATATCCATTTGACGCTATATACTTGATCAAACCTGTAAAAATTCCGTTTGTAAGCGTAGACTTAAAGCAATATCCTGCAGATAATCAAATGCAACTGTCACTGCAAATAGTGCTTGATTTCTTTATCCATTCTCCAATGCAAACTCCTAGATAAACTCCTCCTTGTATACGAGGGCTCAAAGACGGCTCGCAGAGCTGTATGAATGTTATTTGTTGAATCGGAAGAATTACGCTTTCCAATCTCAAACAAGCTCTTACTTCCTCCTCTCCCCTTCTTAGCCCCCCCCCCTCCTCCACCACCCCCTTTTTTATTTTTATTTTTATTTTTAAAAAGGCTCGTTTTCTTTCTTCTTTTTTTTATTTTTCTTGTTGCTTCTTCATTTTTCTTTAATATTTTCAGAATGCGCAATTTAGGAATTGAATCCCTCGTCATAACTCAAGTACTAATGTACATATTATTGTATATTGTCGATGCTGCTGTAATCAAAGGAAACTTACAAGCTTGCAAACCCGGCTATTTTGCCCTCACATTCGATGATGGACCCAATACATACACCCCTGAACTTATTGACACTTTGAATCAACAAGGTATCCCGGCTACGTTTTTCATAAACGGACTTAATTTCATGTAGGTTGAAAGCTGACAAAAAAAAGAAGTTTTAATAGTATCAAAAGTTGAAAATTGACGCGCTTCATTTATATATGTACACATGTATTATAATTAGGGATCTAGAAACCAGCATCTTCGCTCAGGATGCTATTGCAAAAGCCTATAGATCAGGGCATCAGATTGCCAGTCATACTTATACACATCCGCATTTGACAGAACTATCTGACAAAGAAATTGAGATCGAGATGCTTCGCCTGGAAAATCAGACAATGCATATCATAGGAAAAAGGTAAATATGTCAGATAACGCATATATTACTGACAGAGCGAGACTGCATAAAACTAATATTATTATTCTACCTTAGACCTGCCTGTAAGGATAGCGCTTTCTCCTGAGTTGAGAAGACAAAAAGAGAAAAAATAAGAAGAAAGAAAGAGAGAAAGAAAGAAACTTCAAAACGCTGACCCTTACTTGCGTCTGTAGACATGCGTCCACCATTTGGCGATATTAACAAGCATATAATTGATCTACTCAACAATCTGGGTTATACTATTGTTACATGGTCTCTGGACACTAAAGACTACGAAACACACAACTTATCAGATGAAATGAAGAGTGTGTCGGTTGGTATGGAAGGCTCCTCTCATGGATATATCGCACTTACTCATGATGTAAATAACATTTTCTTACCGTAAAATACTCTCAGATTCTAATTACAAGCTATTATAATTATAACTTTAAATTTCTTTTCTTGGTACATAGGTTTATAAGCAGACAGTAGAAGAACTGGCAATTTCGCTTATTAATTGGGCCCGTGACAAAGGTTTCAAGTTTTGTACAGTGGCCGAGTGTAAGTTTTTGTTGTTAGATAAAGTTTAATACCGAGCTAACTTATTCAAATTACAGGTTTTGGAACTGCTGCTTACAAAGAAGGTGGGTCAACGCCTACCCCACCTAATAAAGCACCGAAGCCAAAACCAGAGCCAACCCCCGCACCTAAACCTGCACATACCCCCAAACCGGTGCCTGCACCGAAACCGGAACCTAAACCTACCCCTACCCCTACCCCTACTCCTGTACCTAAACCTGCACCCAAACCTGCACCCAAACCTGCACCCAAACCTGCACCCAAACCTGCACCCAAACCTGCACCCAAACCTGCACCCAAACCTGCACCCAAACCTGCACCCAAACCTGCACCCAAACCTGCACCTGAACCAGCACCTGAACCAGCACCTGAACCAGCACCTGAACCAGCACCTAAACCAGCACCCAAACCCGCACCTGAACCAGCACCTGAACCAGCGCCAAGTATCGCGGAGCCAGGGTCGGGCAAATCGAAAAATCACGGTAGTGGCAAGCATAACGGGAAGCATTATCACGAGGATAAAGATTATGACGAAGATTATGACGAAGATTATGAACCATACGAAGATGAAGAGGAAGAAGAGGAAGAAGAGGAAGAAGAGGAAGAAAAGGAAGCAAAGAGACGTTACAGAAATTACCAGTTTTCCAGATTTGCAGATTTCTGGTTCTAATAATTATCAAAAAGACACCACATCTTTTTATTATTGCTACACTACTACTACTACTACTACTACTACTACTACTACTACTACTACTACTACTACTACTATTCTTATTCTTATATTGACGCTATCATGGTCAAGAGTACACAGCCCCTACAAAATAAATAAATAAATAAATAGAGAAAAGAGATATAGAGACAAGAAAACACCATTTGCTTTCATTTCATTTATCAGCAGCAAAATTTATTCTCCTGTTTTTGTTTTGTTCAATTCAATTCATTTCATATATGTAAATATTTTATTTGTGCCATAAAAAGTACTTTTTATATAAAAATAGACGAAAATGAAAGATTTAATACACTTGATGTGTAAATAATTGTTTATATGATTTTATGTGTAGGATTGTAAGAGAAGTAATGTTAGGTAGATATATAAGGGACTCTGCCCGCTTGCTTGCCTATATTTCTTTTTTCATTCATTCATTCTTTTTATTCTCTTTGTCTTTCTCTCTTTTTTTTAGGTTTAAAACGAGCCATTTTTATGTATGTTTGTGAGTGAGTGAATGGGTGAATTGAGGTAGGTAGATATAAAGATGGAGTGAGAAAGAGAAGAGAGAGAGTGTGTGTGTGTATGTGCCTGTATGTATGAGTGTATTGAGTTGCTCAAAGATATTCAATCGTTCCGTTCCATCTCGTTATTATTCTATTTTTGAAACAGGCGATGTAGGTTGGTGACGATGCTGCTGCTGCTGCTGTATTTGTGTTTGTGTTTGTGTTTGTGTTTGTTGGTGTTGTTGCTTAGGGTCATTAGATAGAGGTCTTGAGCTACCTCGATAGCCACCTCGACGGTTACTCGGGAAACGACGATCGAATTGACCACCATTCTGTGAGCGAGGGTAAGGGGGTCTGGAATTAAGTGGGCGGCGAACTTCAGCCAGGACGATCATACCACAGACACTGATTTTGTGTTGGGCAATCGCCTTTTGTGCAGCATCCGCAGTAACAAAGTCTAGAAAAGCGCAGTGCTTTGGTATACTCACTCGAAGCTGTTGTACAGGTCCAAACTGAGCAAAGGCATCCTTCAATTGATCATCTGTCATCCCAGTTTTGACACCCTTGATAAAAATCTGATTACTTTCTTCTATACACACAAAGATACAGAGATGCACATATATATGAATTAAGTAAACATATTCCAATCCGTTTTAATGCTTCATTTATCCGTTTTTATCTCTCACCAGGACGCTGCTGCTGCTCTTTAAATGCACCTTCAAGTACTGGTTGAGATTGTTGAGCCGATGCTGCCAATGAAGTTTCCTGAGGCGATTCTTTGACATCGGTAAAGATTGAAGCAGGCAGTGATTGTTGTTGCTGTTGCTTTTGTACCATCTTTTCATGTTGTTGTTCTTCTGTTAAGGTCTCTTTGTCGTTTGAAGAAAGTCCCCACCTCTTAGCGTCATTGGCTGTCAGTGTAGCCCAAGTTTTTTGAGGTGTGTGAGGTTTGACCGACTTGTGATGTTTTGGTGTTTCTGTCGACTTTCGAGTATCGTTCTTGACCTTTTTGGATTCCTTTAGTGTGCTTTTTTTCTTGAAGAATTCGTTATTTTCTTTGAGCTCGTCAATATCAGGGGTGCCTAAGGTGTCTTCGACTTTCTCCACGCCCTTTTCTGCAATTAGAGATTCAACAGGGTTTTCAGCAGCTACAGCTGAAGGCCCAGCTACAGGTACAGTAGCCGTTAAAGGCACAGATGATGGTACGGGTACAGAAGACGGTGTTGGTGTCGGTGCTGCTGATGGCACTGGTGTAAATGTAGGTGGAGATGCAACCGTAGAAGTGGGAGTAGGAGTGGGGGTTGAAGCGTTTAAGAACGTAGGTGAAGGTGTTTCTATTTCTGTAGGGGTTTCCGTGGTAGTAGCTGTGGATGTTGGAGTTACTGTCGGAACAGGGGTGGTTGCAACTTCCTCTTCCTCATCACACGTATAATAGTCAATGTTAACCTCATCCTTGAGGAAACGGAATATATCGTTAAGAACATAGTATCCCTTGTGCTGAGTTGCCAAAAAAAACGTCTGGCTAAACTTCTGGGATGATCCATCCTTATTGCTCATTTCTCCCAGAACTTGGATCAAAATACCATTGCTTACAGACATTTGCGTGTCTACTTGAGTCACTAACACTTTACAGCCCTCAAAGTTCAATTCCTCAATCTTTTTGCGAATTTCCTATTTAAATATATTAGAGACTATACGTCATATACATCATATGTCATCTCGTCTAATCCCATTCATCTCAACTCAACTCAACTCATCTAGTATTTTTTATTATTAAATAGAATACTTTGTTCCTTACTTCTTGTCCATGGTATGCCTGTACAGATTCTCCTTCATCGCCCCGGAGAAAGTAAGAATCATTGTTGTAAAAAGCATGAAGACGATGAGGCTTTTTATTGAGGAAAGTGTAGTATTCACGCACGAATAACAAGCCCACATCTTGGGAAGCCAGGTCAGAGAGTGCTGGTGATTCCTTACCAGACTTCAAGTGTGTCTGGGTAGGTTGGCTTACTGTGGCAGTCATTAATCTAGATGAATGTGAGAAATTTATTTTTATTTTTCTTCTATTTGTATATATATATAAAAAAGGAAAACTTACATTGATTAGGTAAGTTTATAAACGGTTATTTTATGGAAGATAATGCTTGTAAATGGCATATACTCATATGAATATATTTATATATATAAAAATATATATTTATTTATTTGTTTATTTATTTATTTATTTAAATGTAGCTGTGTAGGTTGTGTATATACAGAAATTACTCAATTGATGTATACAAATAACAGAGATCAAATTAAAACAACCCGAGTTTACGCGTCAAGCAAAAAAGTGAGCTTGATTTTTTTGTCTTTTTTTTGGGTTCTCTTAATGACGTGGCCTGATTAAATCACCGCGAAGTAAGTAAAAAGAAAGATAGAAAAAAAAGGCGTGTGAATCCGTTTGTGGGGTTATTACAGTGTTTCTTACTTGAGATTGAGACGATGTTAGTTTTTTTTGGACGAATGAAAATCAATTTTTAGACAATTTTCTTACCTTTTTTGGACAAACAGAAAAGAGAATTGAGACACAAAGGAACAAAATTTGGGATAGAAAGGGAATTTAGTTGAGACAAGCACTGTAGGAAATGGCAGGATTTATACCTCCGACCTCGTAACAAGTTACGAGTTCGTAACTCATACTATTTAAAAGTCAGTCTTTAGTTACGAACTCGTAACTTTTATAGCCAATAGCATGCCTGTTTTAGCCTATTAGTTTTACTTTTTGTCAAATACGATTTATGGGATTTTATATTAGCCAGTTTGCTATCTAAGAGCATCTTCAGCAGTCCACTTTATCTCCACTTTTATATTAAATTTAAAGATTTAGCTAAAGTTTGTCCTCCCAGCAGTTCGATTAAATTCACTTTAAATATAAAAGACAGTCCCTTTTCTTTATCTTCCTATTAAATTTATAAAGGAAGATAAAATTTATTGATGAAAACGTTCTCAAAATTTATTTAAAGAAAAAGATAAATCGAACCGCTGGGAAAATTGACCTTTTCTTTAGCTAAAGTAGCGGTGTTTAACTTAAGATAAATTAAAAGTTCTCTCACTGCTGAAGATGCTCTTAGCTTTAATGTCTAAAATGCCATTCACCAGCGTACTTGACAAAATTTCTAAAATAAGGACTCTAGTTACAAAAAGGAATATACTAAACGATCATACTTTAAAAATCTCATTCTATATAGCCAAAATGAAACAAAGCATTAACAAAAAAATAAAAATGGTCAGGGTATTTTAGCAAATAATTAAAAAACAGATGCTGAATAACAATCGGAATCGTATATGACGTGGCTCAATTCCCTCGATCCAATTCCCTCGACAATTCCCTCGTACGCTGGTGAATGGCATTACATGATTTTAAGTTCGTGAGTTTAGTAAATTAGCATGGCCAATAAATGAAATATCACACATTTTCATTGTATATGGAAGCCTTGGATGTGAAACATGAGACCGTATAAAATTACATATATGGTTAAATGTTTCAAAAAAATTTATATGATGTGTCCAAGGTCCCTATTGTCGAGGGAATTGACAAATATATCCGTTCGGAATCGAATAAATTACCATGAAAAGTAATTTTTCTTTCAATTCCCTCGTACACTGGTGAATGGCAAGTGGTAGCCACAATAAATTAGCCCGGCAAAAGAAAGGTAAGGGATTCTCAAGCACTCGCCAAGGTCCTAAATGTTGGCGGTGATTTTCATATAAGGATTGGCGAGAGTTTCCTAAATTAGTTACCTTCGCCAACAAAATT